AACGAAAAATTACGAGCGTCAACTTTATCCACGATTTTCTAAGCAATTAACTTTTACCTTGATCCAATTAATCATGCCCATAAAATGGAAGATTTGCTTCTAACAGAATATTAAATGTATTGTTAGAGTATCAAATTTCTCAAATTTTCTTTTAAAAAAAATAAAGGATCTTATATTTAATTAAATATAATTAATATTATTTGCGGATAAAATGATATTTAATTGAGATTCATACCACTTTTTTTTCAGCCGGAAAAAAATGTAAATATTAATGCTTTAAAAAAAAATTTAAATATTCTTAAAATTGCCCGACGGGTTAAGGGTCAAGTTATTTCACGTTCTAGCGAATGCCATTTTATGGCTTTTATTACAATTTACACTTCCCACGAGCGTGATCATTTTAAGGTAATTCTTCTACATTTAAATGAATCTAGATAAAATTTTAATTATGTTTAAAATTGTTTCTACATTTCTTAATTAAATTCAATTGATGTGACCTCTGAATTTAAATTTTTAATTTGCATACACTCAGTAAAAAAGAATAATTCCTTGATTAACCGTGAATTATATTCATTAAAAGAAAGTGACATCCTATACATAATCCTTACACATAATGGATTAAATATGAATAAAATTCAATTTAAATCTATAAAAATAAGATATATATGATTAAAGATGGATCTTTATGACCTTTTTACACCATAATACTTCTTTATAAAACCAAGAAACGAGCTGCTAGAGATCTTTTTAATGGGTTATATTAACTAAAATTTCTCGTGTTTATACAAGCGTACATATAAATATTCACAAGAACTTGAATAAACAGAGTTATAATAGTTTAAAAAAGTATAATAATAGCTGACACTTAAACGGACAATTGTACAAGGAAACGTATACACCAACTTAGTTTTATAAGGAAAGTAAGTACGGGTATTATCTTTTTTTAAAGCATTTTCTAATGGGAACGTTAAGTTACACACACTAAAAAAACTGTGCAAATTTTACACAGAAAGGTTTCTAAAGAGATAAATCTAAGAAAATTAATAAATAAATAAATAAAAATTGGGTTCGTAAACATAAAACTTGTCTTAATTACTCGCTGTATGTATGGGTATGGCAGTTATACGTATGTATAACACACACATTCTTGACTGTTCATTGTTTTGCGTTGTGATAAATTACTATACAAGCGATGACGTCACAAACAAGGACACCTTTTGAATATCTCAGTTACGATATGAGATATAATCTAAAGTATTTTATCCGGGTATACGACTTTTTAGCGTGAGTGAATTTTTCGTATACTTTATACAATTAGTCGCGATACTTGAATGAGAAATAGCGCAGGAAAAAAAACACATAATATTTATTTATTTAAAGAGGAAAAAGTAAATAAATTGAGGAAAGAAATTAATTTACAATTTAACTAAATAACTGGTTTGAAAGTTAATCGATTTTAAAGTTTTTTTTTTTTTTTCTAGTATTTAACTTTTAAATGATGGAAAGAATTAGAATTTTTGTTTAAAATATAGGTCAAGGTTGCGTGTGGTTATGATGCGACGAATTGGCAAAAAGTATGATTAATTATTTTAAAAATAAATAAGTAAGTTTAGAAACCATATTTCTCTCTTGCTCTCTTCTTAAGACAATTAAGATTACATCTTTAGTAATTGGATCAGTTGCGTCATAGTATTTTTTTTTAAAGAAATCCTTTACTTATTTTTCCCTTCTTTCAGTATGAAGCGAATTACATTTCGATCTCATTAAGTTGATGTTATAAAAGGTTCTTTTATAAAAAATAATAATAATAACAAATTACGCAATAGTTTAAATAGCATTAACTTGCAACAGACTTACAACACCAGAACTACACTAGAATTTTAAATATCCTGTTGTTAAACGTGGGATTTGCATACTAAAAATTTAAAAATCGTAACAGTTTAATTGTTTAAGTCTTCGTTAATTAAAAAATTCTTCTTCTTTTCTTTTCTTTTTTTTTTAATTTTCTTTTGCATGTTTAAAGACAATCAATATCGGTCCATTGGAACTGATCAAAATCTTTCGTGTCCTGATATTGATTGTTCTTGTTAAAGAATAATATAAACAACTCCCACGAGAATTCTTTTGATAAATTAGTTGTACGAATGTAACAATGTACGAAGATAATTGTGAAAGAAGATAAAAAATAATCGAATTAAAAGCAAAAATAAAGAAAAATTCACATATACCTCACTTTTTTCCTACTTATATCCTACGTTTTTGTCCTTGATAAAAAGGTTAATAACGTGTAATTTAATTATCTAGAATAATCCCGAAGCAGGAGATTTAAGGAGTTGATAAGTTTTCGCTAACGAAATGGTTTCTGATAGATTACTGTGAAGGTACGAAAACAACCAACGGACTATCCTCGTCAATTTCGATCAACCGTGACCTTCAAAACCGTCTCCCTTCGCAAACCACACACCAACATAGCCATGGTACGTACACCAAGTAAAAATAAAAAAAAAATTAATAACAATAATAACAAAGAGAAGAAGTACTTACAATGATGGAATTCCTTTAAAGTAAGGAACATTGACTGAGCCGAGCGTGTAAGAAACTCGTACTTGGCCCAAGGAACTGCTCAGCAACGGAAGGAATGCGACAAGTCACAAATGTCCGTCAACCAATCCCGTACTTGCCACATCCGATGGCCACCTTGACTTTTGCCGACTCGTTCAACGACCCTTATTCTTTCTCGTCTACTCTCTCACTCATCATTCAGGCCTCATTTCTGTTAACGAAAACGTACAATTACTTTAAAAGGAAGTCCCTGAACCAAACACGTCCCTTCGTTTGTGATTGCTGAAGTTTTAACGCGGTCCCGACCACGTTCTTCGTGTGTCTGAGCCGCTGCCAAGTATACAGCTGAGTTATTTCACGTGTGTGTGGCTGACGTCACACGATCGATATATCGAACCCCGTAGGCCACAGCTGTTTATGGTACATTCCTCGAATTTATGAAAACATTTACTTGCTTCTGATATATCCCTGGAAGAGTAACGTGATGGAATTGTATCTCTACTACTGTAATCACTGGTGCGATTCTTGTGTAGTAAATTACGTTAACGACGTTCTTTCCATTATTTTTAACACATTATTTTTTTTCGCCTTTCTTCCTATAATTTACGTATTTATAAAATTAAAATGTGGTTTATCTTCGGTGTGAAGACGTACATCGTCTTAAATAGTTCGTCCTTCGGGGCTTTTCTTAATTGGATGAATAGAGAGAAGAGAGTGTGTACGTTCTCTACACCATTATTCTTTCTTTAAACACAATCACTTACTTACGAATTTTTAAAAGGAAAATAAAGCTAGAGGGATGAAAGAACTGCACTTATATATTCTTAAATGTATATTATTTATCTCTCTACTAACAGAACACACTTGACTTTGATAAATTCTACACTTCTAAGAGGTAGAAAATTAAGTTCGAGAGGTAAGTTCTTATGTACAAAGATTTCAAGTATTCAAGAAAGAAATCTACTAAAGCACTAGAATTATCTGTAAAGTCGGAGTTTTTATAGTTTTATTTCAGAAGCCAATGCGGCTAACGTTAATAAAAGCGAGTTAATTTAGAGACACATCACAGGAAATGATTCTTATGAGTATTTCCGGTACCCAACGGTCATCGCAAAACAGAAAAAATTGAATTATAACTGTAGATCTACCAATGGAAATTTCGTTTACAAAAAAACAAGTTGTGAAATTAATATAATTATATTATTAAATCGTCTGTATTAATTGTTAATCACCGTTAGTCTATATAATGTTGTGTGTGGAATATAAAATTTATAGAGTATTTACATAATAAAAATTAGCTTGTAAAAAGTCTAGAGGGAAACGTGGGAATACAAAATATCCTGTAGAAATCTACGGGAAGTATTACAGAATAAAATATCCTGCAGAATATTTTATTCTATAAAAATTCTGTAGATTAACGCAAACCAATTGAATTTACATCTTCAAAAATATTAAAATCTTTATATAATAGATTTATTTGTAAAACGTTTAAAATAAGATTTAATAACTGATAAAACTAACAAAATCATAGAATAAAAGGTAATAAATTAATAATTTTCGCCATATCTAAGCGACAAATATACATATTAAAAATATAAAACGTGTCATGTTTGAAAGAAAGAAAGAAAGAAAAAAAACGATTTTGTAAGAGACTTTGTCATAGGCTCACAATCGAACAATACTGTATTTTGTTAAAAGTTACATAATCATCCTGACTCACGATTACGAGAGAAAATTTTTATTTAAATAGAAATAATATGGTTGAAAAATTTTCTTTACGAAAAGTTTAAAAAAAAAAAAAAATAGGCCTATTTAGTTATAAAATTTCAAATTCAAATTTTTAAATACTGTCTACGTCATTATTCCCTTTCCCCCTTGCGGTTGTTAAGATAACTTAATCAATAATTCCCCATAATATTAAAATTCTGCATAATTTGTGTTACGTAATTATTAATACTGTTACATAGATACTTTAGTTTCTTAATTAAATTTAAATTATATGCTTACCCTTCGTGATTAATTTTTGATATCTTTGTGTTTTGAAATTTTGTACATTTTACAGCCGTCGGCATCGAAATCGGAATTAATTATATTAAATTTATTCCAGTTGGATAATTACTTATTATTTTAGCTTCTTATGGAAAAAATGTTAATTTGATGCTAAGATATTATTTAAAGTAAAAATAAATTTTTAAAATTAATTATAATTAATTAATTAATCTTATTTTTGCCATTTAAAAAAAATTATTTTATTAATCGTTATAAAGTAAAATTTAAAAAAAAATCACATTAATCAAATTTAATTAATTTCGCTAATATTTTAAAATTTTATCTTTATTTAATTTTAGAAGTTACTTAATTTTATTAAAACTGGAAAAAAAAATTTTTTTTAACTTTAAAAAATTTAAAATTATTATTATAATTTTATTATNATATAAATCTTCAATTAAATTTGAAAAAATATATTAGTTGGCGCCCTCTAACGCTGTTATTTCGAACTAATTTGGAGAAAATGTCGTCTGCACCAGAAACGTAAGTCTTACGTTCAAAGTTTACAAAAGAAGTTTAAATGTCTATTTCTAACAATTATTTTAGAAATATTTGTTAATATGATTGTTATAATTCGTAGTAATTAGTTTAAATTAAAGTTTATTTATTAAAATAACTTTATATCTTATTTTTTCATATGAATTTAGCATTGATGAACAACAATTACCAGAAGATCTGATCAGGTTAAAACCCATTGAACCTTTACCATCTGACTGTTGTGGATCAGGCTGCACCCTTTGTGTATTTGACATTTATGAACAGGAATTGAAAATATGGAAGAAAGAATGCAAGAAGTATTTCCTGAAAGATAAAGCTTCGAACGAGAAAGAGTCGGATGCGGTGAGTTTTCGACTCAAGCGGTGAGGTTCAGACCCTATCAGAGACGTGGACTGTGTCTACAGGAGTAAAGAGTCAAAGGAATAAACCAATCGTCTTTTGCATTTCTGCAATTTTGAAGTCCCTCATGATGGCAAGGGGAAAAAAGGGCATTTTGTATCTTTCTTCTGGCATTGCCAAAGATGTCCTTAAATCTCCTAAGCATTTCTTTGTCAGAAGGTATCATTTTCTTCAATTCAGGGATTTTCTTTCGTGACGATCATTTATGCTGATGTTTTAGCAATTGCCCAAAGCATCGTCCAAAGAAAAAAGGGCAGTTGCCCAAAGCAATCTTTTATTGACTCGTTACTGTAGTAAGAATATTGAAATTTAAATTTGGGCAGTATCCGAGATTCTGGATTGCCAGTGTGGTACAGCATGGAACTTAATTCTTTAGTGGTTGTGTTAAAAAAAAACAAGTGAGGATGTCGGGAGGATTCCCCAAGAAATATCCAAAGTTGAAGCTACGTTGAGCCCACTAATTCAAATCTGCCTGGTTCTCTTGAAGCTATAACGTAATGCTAGAGGGAGGCGTTAGGCGTCTCCCTCTAGCATTACGTTAGAGCGGTAGGCACCTTGTAATAAATTTAATAATTATAATTTTAATTAAATAATTATTATGAGATGACACCTATCGCCTCCCTCTAGTATCAAATTGTTTGGTAATTTATTAGTATTGCAGCCATTATATAGCTCGATGGCACTAGTTGGCTGTAGTAACATATTTATTGGGTTTTCATACAGTTGTTTGTTTAAGTTATAACCTACCACCAGACTCACAAAACTGGAAAAAAATTTCATGGGATTTTAAGAAATGGTTCCAGACTGTTTTGTCCAGAACTGTTTCTCAAAACAATGCTAAAGTTCAACTGTTTTTAATTTTACTTACTAGAGATGGTTAAAAGTTCATAAAATGCAAGGAATGTCATTGCAACAACTAGCCTACTTCAAGAGTGCAATCTGTTAAGCTTATTGAATGTTTATAAGCCGATTTTGGAGGCTGTATCTTGTGAAGGATGTGGACGATAGACAGTTGTCTGTTTTTTTGACATTTTTACTCCTGTGGGCATGGTCTATGGCTATAATAAGGTCCTGACTGCCTCCTTCAAAGCTGAAATTTTAACCAGTTTTAAGTGTTATATTAAGAAGCCTCTGAAAGAATGAAAATGCAAATTGTCAGATGAATCATCCAACAGCTTTGTTTTCTTAAACATTGGCAATTTGTGACAGTAATAAGGTGAACAAGGTATGCATTGCATTCAGACACTGTTTTAACAATTAAAAATGTAAAGGTGTTCTGCAGGATATCATTTGAAAATTTGTGTTGAGGTGCCATTGTTAGCAATGCTGGGCCTGACAATAATTAATACTATGTGGACGGTGCTGTATAGAGAGATTGTGGGGCAGACTGAGCATCTAAATCTCCTAAGATGACATTCTTGGTTTATCACATTTCCTTTATGAACTTAAAATTATATAATTGATCTTGTAGACTTCATAATTAAAATTTTTAATTTGTGCACTTTTCAGAAAAATTGAAATTTATAAATAATTTAGAACTGTTAATATATGCACACATTAAAAAATGTCATCAAAGTAAAGTTACTGATTATTTTACATAATTTGTTGCAATTTCTGTTTTATTGTATTTTTTACCTTACTTTTTTGTTGTTTTATGACAGTTCAATTTTCTTTTTATTTCAGATGTGCAATTTTTGTGGGTGTAATCATCAGCCATTTTAACTCTATATTATATATATAAAAAAAGTTGGTTTGTCTTTAAGAAAAAAAAATTACACAGTTCTCTGCACTTCATGTTGAATTACGTACATTTATGTAAATTCCAAAAAGTTGTGCATTTTATGCATTTTTGTATTTTTGTTTTCTTAATTTCCAAATAATCTCCGTATAATTCATTAATTAATATTTAGGTTCACAAAGCCATTATGTCTTTTTACACATTTTATACAAAATGACATCCCTATTAATAACATAATAGCAATAATTGACAAATTAGCTTTAATAAAATAATAGTTTTTTCGTAATTTTATAAAATTATTCAAATTTAAATATAAAATATTTTTATAATTTGAAATTGATTGTGCAATATTTGGAAAGATTCAAATTTTAAAGTACAAGTAAGGAATACTAAAATATTATTATGAATTAGCATTTTCATACTTTTAGAAGTGAATATAATGCATTTCTATAAATGATGATAAAACAATAATCTTGAATAGGCCTACAGTTTGGTTTTTTTAACTCTTTACACCCTGTGGATACTAAAAGGGCCTCTTTTAGCAAGCCCATTATGGGTTCAGCTGTAACTTTAATTTTACTAGAATGCATTCAGCTAAAATACCTTGAAATATCATTATACTATAATTTAAATAACTACAAAATTATTTAGCTATTGTTTTCTAATACTTTTAAAAATCTATAAGAAATCTTTTTAATAATAATAATTGTAGAAAAAAAATATATTTTAAAGTTATTTAATTTTAATAAATTACATTATTATTATTTTTTCTTTTATTAGGAAAATGTGATATGTCAAGAAGAATATTCTAAATTTACTTTAAAAAATATCATAAAGGAAACAGTTAACAGCAGTATTTATCGTTTTAATATATCAAATAATAGAAAATTAGGAATAAAAATGGGTCAGCATTTGATTTTAAGGTATTGTAAATTTGTATAATTTCTATTTTAAATGCTCATTTAATAAATATTAAAAAAAAATATTTTATTCAACTTTGTTTAAAAGATAATTTTAAAATGTTTTACCACAATAATTAATAAATAGTTTTTAAATAAATAATTCTAGAGACTCATTTAATAATGAATGGATTACAAGACAATATACTCCAATTAGTCCTGTTGACACAGAAGGTCATTTTGATGTACTTATTAAGGTTAGTAGGTATTTTTTGTTATTTTGTAGAAAAATTTCAAGTATTTACATTAATTAATGTTATATTAGTAGTTAGTTTGTTTAACATTTTGAAATAATGTTTGATATATATCAGTCTAAAAGATTTTTATTATTCTATCATATTTTGATAGATTACTATATGTCTGTACTTTCTATTTTTCTGTCATATGTCTTTTTTTTTTTATTAGTATGCATATAAATTCTGATACTTCGGTCAGTTTAAAAATAGGATGTGACTATTTATACATACTGACTTTATGTTCTTACCTTCTGGTCGGATACTGACTGTATGCGCTGTTATTACGATTAATATTTTGATGATAACTACATAATTATAAATAATTATAGTTTTATTTATTAAAGTTCAGTTACAATGTTGTTCAAACTAGTCAATAAACTATGAAGTATCATTAAATCAATGAAATATAGGTAATGAAATTTAAAGTAGATTGGTAGATATACCAATAAAGAAAAATAAATATATTATTTTTTATTCTGTATTAATTTTTTTTTTTTTTTGTAAAATGTGGTCTGCTAAGTCTTTCTCTTCAGACATTCTTTGGATTTAATTTTAGTTTTGAATTTTAAGTTTTTATTTGATTGATTTGAACAGAGCTCGTTATTAGACCTAATTTGTTCTTCAAGTTCTTTTGGTTCAATTGTACTAAGCCCACACTACTCTTGTGTTCAAAAAGAGAAATTCTATTTCTTGCATTGCTTTCTATTATTTTTAATTCCTCTACATATTTATTGAAGGTTTGCATTCCATAATTAGACAAATATCTGCAATATTTTTAGTTATTGCCAGTGCCATATTAAATTTTTCCAAATCCGATAATATTTTGTTGGGACAATCAATCATCAGTAAAAGTTTCATCTTCAATATGATCATTGATGTCTACATTTACATCATCTGTATCCATACTCAGTTCATTTTCAATTGAAATAATATATCTTGCATGAAAGCAAGCTTTTGAAAATATGTCCAAATTATTATATTTTCTTATCATAAGAATATGATGACATAGTGCACTGAAAGAATTCCAATATGAACAAGAACATGCTTCCACCGATGTATTATAAAATTTTGATATTTTGCTATCAAGATTTTCCTCAGTGTCATTATTTTTAATTCTCATTTCTCAATAATCAATATCATAATTAGGATATCAATAATCAAAATTTAGGATATCCTAAATTATAAATAACATTAAAACTGTCATCTTTATGTAATGGCTTTAAAAGGATTAAATAGCCAATTGCATATACATACTATATGTATAAATAGCCACTTTGTTAAAAATATATATTTTTCAACTTTGACAAGTTATTGATATATCTTAACAATAGTACATGTTTTGGTATTTTTGAAACTGTGCCAGTAATTTTTAGTAATTCAAACACAAATTATTTATTGTATTTATTCAGACACTTGGCAAATCTCATCATTAAATTTTATTCAGTTGATAAGTGTTCATCTCATTTGTACACGTTTCAGGCATTCCTTGCCCCTCTTCAGCTAACTTTTAGATTACAGATTATTGAAAGTTAAAACCATAAAATTCCTTTGTCTATTTTACTTGTCATCCATTAAATTACAAATTTTTGTATGGTTTGAACAATACAATAGACAACTAGACAAAGGAATTTAGTTAAAATAGACAAAGGAATTTTATGGTTTTAACTTTCAATAATGTGTTATCTAAAAGTTGGCTGAAGAGAGGCAAGGAATGCCCAAAATGTGTACAAATGAGATGAACACATATCAACTGAATAAAATTTAATGATGAGATTTGCCAAATGTCTGAATAAATACAATAAATAATTTGTGTTTGAATTACTAATAGTACATGTTATTACTGTGATATTTTACAATTGTAACATGAATGGAAATAGAAAAAAGTTTTATCAAATACATGGTTTGAAAAATGCAATAGTCTGGCAGTCAAATACTACCAGAAAATTGTAATTGACTACCAAAAACTTACAAGTGGTAGCCAACAGACTATAGCTGTTGGTCAAAAACTGTTATCCAAATTACTCATACTTATGTGTATCCATTTAAGGAAATAAAGTCTTTAAAGAAAGGTGGTTATTTAATTAAAATTACTGCAATTTTATAAGTTATTACTTTAATGTATAAAAACTCTTCCTAATTATAAGCATTATGATTATAAATTTAAAAGTATGAAGCTGAAATATTGGTTTCAGTTTTCATACTTTAATTTCTAGAATAGTTCATTTTCATTCATATAGAAATTGAGGGTATGAAGGAGAATTGAGGTGTGTTTTAAAGAGATTTATAATGTATACTACTATTTTAGAAATGTACTTTTAAAAATTACACAATAAAAATAACAACAAATACGTCACACTAACTTTGTATAGCTTTGCAGTTACTACTTAGAACATATCAAAAATGTTTTCAACCCATTTCTAGGGTCGTCTTCAGGTGTTCTATAAATTTTTCTGGTGTGATTCCAATTTTTAATCATTCAGGTCTCGTAATGGTTCTATCTTCAGAATTTATTTTTTTAAATTTTAAAATTTTTAAAAAACATACCTTCAAGCCTTCGTACATTTAATAAGTACACCTGAAAGATGTGATAGTTTTTAAAAAGTCATGAGTTTTGTTTTCCAATTATTTAAAGAACAAGTTCAGCCAACATGTTATAATCTATATCTATAATGAAAAACTGTAAAAAGTAGTAAAAACTATTCATTTGACCAAAAGCATTAGTAATAAAAATATGTAAGCCAAAGCCACCCCTGTATATGCAAGTATATTTTGTAATTATCAGTTCAATTAATAAGTTCTAAATAACACCCAGTTAGAAAATATATTACAGAACATAAAATTATTTTTAATGACTGACTTAAAATTTAATTTTGATCATATCTGTTTGGTGAATACGAAAACAAAGTATATATTTTAGTTAATTATGCATGCATCAAATTTAAATTTGGTTTTATTTCATTTTATTTAAAATGATTAATTAACAATATACTTTTCATATCAATAGTTTATTACAATAAATTATTTATATTGTGTGTTTCAGATGTTACTTGCAGTTAGCTATTTTTAATAGTCATATCAAATTCACTTCTATGAAAATATTCTCAAGAAAAATGTATAGAAATTGTCAAAAAGAATAAAATAGTGGATGAATTAATGTATATATATATATAAGTAAGCAGTTTATGAAATTCTTATAGATTCTAAATCTTAAAATAAAATAAATTCTCAAATTAAAGTAATTTATACTTAAAATTATTTAAAAATTAAATGAAAGAGCACAAGTAATATTTCATATTTGAAGTTAGTACAATATATCCTTTTTTTTTATTTGATATCTATTTCCCATACAATTAACAATTATTTAATTATTAGATTATTTGTAGAATTTAAGATTACAGTAACATATACTGTATATATGACATTATATATGAAACACTGAAAATGTAACAGATGTTTTCAATATTTTTCATAAATATTGTAATCATTTATCAGCATTGATTATTAGCAAATTACTGTGTCTACTGTGTCTGAGAAATTTATTATACAGTTTGGACAAGCTGGAAGAATGAAGATCAAAAACATGATCTTCTGATTTAAAATTCCATAAAGCATTCACAATAACCCAAAAGTTTCTATAAATAATAATATCTGATGTCTGTTTGCAGGTAACTCAACCAAATCTGTGCATTTGACATAGTAAAGTGAAATCTTTCATCATGATATTTAACCAATAGTTCTTTGTAAATTATTAGTTTATATGACTTCTTGTTAAAACATGCTTTTTGTTGTTTTAAATTTCACAATTAGCATTATAATATATATTTAATGACTATTTATGATTTAATGTCTTAATTAAAATATAAGTAAAACTCAGATCAATTAATAATGACTAAACATTCTATTCACATTTAGATGATCGTTTTAGTTTAATATAACTAGCAGTAATAAAATTATGTGAATTTTACAAAGTTTTAAAATATTAATTACAAATCAATTAATAACTTTTGAATGAAACATATAAATTTTAATGAAGAAAATTAAAATATTTCATTTTCTTCATTAAAATTTATATGTTTCATTCAAAAGTTATTAATTGATTTGTAATTAATATTTTAAAATGATAATTATTTCAGTTAACACATTTTCTAAGCTGATGTGATATATTATTTCTATTTACCAAGTAATAATAGTAATTATTATTATAGGAAAAATTAAAAAATATTGAATTAATCATTTGTAAGAATTAGTGTTATTATTTCTTTGAACACTTTAACATACGAGTAATTGCATTAGGATGCATATTATCTTTAAAAATTTCTGTAGATTAATGATCTTTTTATCTTCTTACATACTTATTATCTTAATACAAGAGCTTTCTGAAATATTTGTAAATACCATGTTACTTCAAATTTAAGACATACCTTGAGAATATTTGAGTATAAGTTTGAGAATGTATGAAGAAAAGTCCATTTTAAATATGAAGCAATACAGAATTTACAAAGTACTCTATTGTGTTGTTATATTACTAATTTCCTATTCTTTCAAAACCTTTCTACATGATAATATAAGACTATTACCTCCTAATCAATTTTTTTCCTGTTAAGGAATAATTTTACTTGAATATCAACTGAGCATAGGATTTTATGACTAATTATATACATATAATTTTGGTGATACTAGTTTAAGAAATTCTATGGTTAATATAATGAAAGCAAAATAGAAATTTATGTACTTTTGTCCCTTTTCTTTATACCTTAATGAATTTAATCAAATATGACAACAACAATTTTACATTAGTTATTATACAGCTATTATTTTTATTCTTTAAATCATTGTATTAACAGTAGTTTTAAGAATGAAAACATTTATTATTGTAGTTACATTTTAATATGATTTATCTCATATTGAAGTTAAATGATAAAAGGTAACAGAAACAAATCATTTTAAACCTTATTTTATGAACTACAGTATATGAAAAGTAGTGTATTCACTTGCAGGATAATTTTTCAGATAATCAAGGTTCTACTGTATTGGAAAAAACCTGATGTACAGTACAGTACATATAAATTTAAAGAATAGAATCGTAACAGTCAGAAAGTTAATTTATTATTTTCAAAAACAGAAATTTTATGATTTTATATTTTTCATAAAAGTTTACATAGTTTGGCACTGATTGATAGCCAAAGTCTTATATTTTATTTATTTATATTTCTGAAGCAGACAATTAACAAATTCATAAACTTATTGTTTTTTTTATTAACTTTTACCTCTTTAGGTAGAAATTTGGTACAGCTGCAATTTAGTTCTAATTATTCAATCTTTGAGTGGTTTATTTTTTCATGCTTTTATTAAGTGTGAAAAAGTAAACCACTCAAATATCCCACTTATTTCTGTTTTTGAAAATATTTTGCAACCTCTTTGGGGTTGCAATCCATAATTTTCATATCACTGATGTAGAACATAATTAAAATACAATATAGTTTATCATTGTAGAATGTAAAAAGAATTTCTTATCCGCAAGTTTCCAGAGAAGGTTTATGTATTTTCCCAAACTGTATTGCCACCGCTGTGCCGCCATTAAGATAATGCAAGAATTATGGAACTGCAGAACTATAGAATTGAGAATATAATTGATTTCGAAATTACTAATAAAAATTCATTCATATTGCTCACTTTGTTAGTAATTGTAAGGGTTTTTTATATTTAAATTATAAAGAGAGTATTTTCAATCATTCTTACACAAGTTTAAACTTTTTCTAACAAAGAAAAAAAGCATACAAGAAATGCTTAATTATGGGAGTCTTGACTCATAATTATTTTTCAAGGGTAAAGTAGATGAAATTTTAATTAATTAATTGTCACAAAACACTTGTCCTTAAGACAAATGTAGAGCCACCACATACCTTATCTGCAAGTAATTATTCTATATGGATTTGTGTCTTATGATGACAAAGTTATTTATTTAGCTGGATGTAACATGCATGACTGGTTACCCATTCTCTTATTAAATTTTCATCACGTAGAAATTAAAATGGATGTAACTGGAATGGTTGAATACATGAATAATCTCAATGTATCATGTTTTCGTGTATATCGCATACAGCTTATAAAGAACACACTGGCCGTTATGGCAGTCAATCATTGCACAATATCTATCTGAACTGGTTTTATAAGACATGTCACCAATGAAAAACTAAAAATTGCAGTCATACACTAACAACTAGCAGTATCTTAATGGCTGCTAAGAGACACACCCTCATGTGGCAAAATTCAAAAAAACATTCTGGAAATTTGTGGATAGAACATAACTTTAACAATTCATTTGGTATTTATATATGGGTGTCTGAGAAAGATCATTATTACCCATAGTCATAACACAAAAATGAATTGGTCTATTGAATATGGTTTGCAGTAAATGAAAAAATAACTCAAAGTTTTTTAGTGCTATTGACTTGCAGAATTAGAAATGGTGACAATACAGAAAAAGCACAATGTTTTTTTTTTTTTTTTTTTTTTGTTTCAACCAAACATAATACACAATGTCTTTATCACATTTCCATGTTTCTTTGACCTGACCAGATTTCTACATTGAGCATTTGTGGGACCAGATTGTATGCCAGCTTCAGCCATCTAAGAGTATTGGAATGATGCTGCAACATCTGTGGCAAATATGATGCAGAATAGCATAGTGTATCTTAACTATCTAACCACATGTATCCAATCAAAGGAGTTTGTGCAAGGTACTAAACATTCCTTTAAACTATATCATCATTCCACAGAAAATCGCTTTGCTATATTATCATCACACTAATGAAGTTTCATTCATTTCCAATACCTCATTCTTGGTGCATATCTCTTTGCATTAAAATTTATAAACTTTATTAAATTTATAAGCTTTATTTCTAATTAAAATTCCTTTTACATAATCATTATGTAATAATACAATAATAAATGAATTGTTTTCTGAATTATTATTAATCAATATACTTTTCTTATTTATACATGTTTTAATTATCTATAACCTAAATAAATTTATTTTTGTAATAAGTTTCAGAAATGAGAATTTCTAAATAGCTTCTATAATATATATATGTTTTATTTATCATTGCATTAAAATATGCCATAATTATTATTTTTAGTTGTACGAACATGGAAAAATGTCCAAATGTATTCATCAATGGAAAATTAATGACAAAATCAGTTGGCGTGGACCATTTGGAGATTTTCAATACAAACCAAATTCTGTAAGTTAAAAGTTTATTTTTTATAGTGATAAAAGTAGCAATCTATACAAAATATAAATTATCATTGATTTTAGAAATTGAAAAAATTTCTAAAAGAAAATTTTTATTTTTACATCTTTTCAATAAGAACTTTAGAATACACTTACAGTATATTTAGTCTGCTGATGATTAATTTTCTATAAAATTATCACCACTTTGAGAACATTTATAATGGAAAGCAATGTAATTATTAGGTAAAAAATTGAAATTATGTCCATTTTATAAATAACTGATTATAGTTATACTGTATATAAATTTGAACAAACCCTGGTTTTTAATTTGCTGGGGTTATAATCTGTATAAGTCTGAGATCAATTGCCAAAAATAAACTTTAATTAGATAAGTACATTTTTGGATCAAGAAAGCAAAATCTAATAATAATTTCACTAAAAAATCATATTCATTGTAAAAATTTGTAACTGTTTTCAATGTGCTCAAAAACTACATCTCAGAGACTTCCAAATCTTTGAAATGATATATACTTTTTCAGTGAGACTAGGTTCACTGCATTATATTACTTTCACAAAAGTACAGGCATACCTCGACTTACGTCGTTTCGAGTTATGTCGTTCCCGATTATACATCGCTTGTTAAAAAAGTATATGGAAAAATAAAAATCAAGTTTAAGTCATTTTATTCGACTTTACGTCTGTCCGCCACAAATATTGAAGTCGTAATATCACTAGAAAAACGAATTTAAAGCACATAGAATCATATTAAAATATATACAAGTATGTACTGTATTTACAGTACATGCATTCATAAATTTAGATTTTTTTCTGTACTATATTAAAAACTAAAATTTATTTGTTTGTAAGCTTAAAATAGATTTTTATTAACCATATATTATTAAAAATGCATTAATAAATAAAATACAGAACCGGGAATGGTAATTTACGGTTTAGCCTAGTGACAAGTAGATTTGGAGACAAGTAAATTCGACTTACGTCGTTCTCCTGGAACCAATTACCAATGTAAGGCGAGGTGTACCTGTATAGTATAATAAGATTTGCATCACACTATGAGAACATTATGTCATCGTATTTTGTCTGTCATCTATATATATAACCCATTCAACGGGTATCTATCTATCCGTCCCATAACCGTTTGATAACAGACACTAGAGGCATCCCTATCGTGTGTCATATTTCAAACATTCAAATTAACAGTTTTAATTCTTATTTAAATTAACAATATAAATTTTTATTATTCATTTGGACAATAAATTATTATTTGGTCAATATAACAATATAAATAATTCAGTATATTTGTAATAGTAATTTATTATTTCAGGAGCTTATATCTCTCGAAGGGTCACGAGTAGGGATATGGTTCCTTTTACTTTATTGTCAGTACAGGGGTCTACGGTTTGGAGGATCACCACCTCTTCATTCAGAGGGTAAATCTTACCATTCGGACTTTAACAGAGTTGTAGAGCATATTGATAGGAACAAAAAAGTCAAAGGAACCGTGCCTCATGGAAATTTGTAAAGAACGCTCACTAGGAGGCGTCCTGAGCTACTAGTATAAAATAAGTACATCACACACTACTTTCTAGAAGAGATGTATTTGGATACTGCACATCCAATATTTAAAAAAATCAAAACTCTGGTTTTATTGTAATTGATGTTATTTTCTGAACAAAGAATTTAATAATATAATATCCTTTTTTCGTTTAAAAAATATTTCAAAGTCTGTACATTTCTATCTCTATATAAACCACTGTTTATTGGTGGAAGGGGTGTTTCTACAGCAACCATGTTTGAATTCAAATTTTTCTTGCACTAATCAACTGAAACTCTTACATTTGTAATAAGATTTAATTCGTTTATATTTAAAAAAAAATTAATTCTAATGCTAAGCAAATTAAAACTCAAAAATATTATGTATGCTTTAATGAATATCCAGCAGATTTTGACAATGCTCCAAATTTTACAGTAGTCTACTGCCTAAGCCAAGTTTGTATATTTATATTTTATGAAAGAAAAATTTATTTATTTACATATTTTCCATCACAAGTATACCAGTTTTGCCAGATGTTACATGCTGAGTTTGAATTACATTGATGCAACAGCAAGAATTTAAAAGTTTGTATTTCATATTTGGATCAAAGACAGGAAAATTAAGAGAGAATTTATAAAAACTGTATAATAAGTTAAATCTTGCATAGTTTTAAGTAAAAATGAATTTTTTTTTCATTTTTTGTTACAGCTTGTAGTATACTGATTGCTTTTTAATTATCACTAATTAAATTTTCCATCTAAATACTTTCAGGAGAATTTTAATGTTTTTTGTTAAAGATTGAGTTATAATTGCATTCAATAAGATAATTCTTTTTAATTGCAGTAGTGTATTTTAAATCTAAGAAAAATTTACATTATATATTTTTATTTTTTTTATGTAGTTTTCACAAATAATAATGCTTGTAGCTGGAAGTGGTATTACTCCAGTGGTCGAAGTAATTCGACAGATTCTTGATAATGAGGATGACGAAACGTTTCTGTGTCTCTTTTATGCATGTAGATACTATGATGATATAATGTTGAAAACCAAGTTAAAATCCTGGGAAAGTTATTGGAATTTTACAGTAGTCTACTGCCTAAGCCAAGTTTGTATATTTTATAATTTATGAAAGAAAAATTTATTTATTTACATACCAATCCTATTTTAAAACTAGAGATACTCAAATAAATAATAGCTTTGCACAGCAAAAAGATATTGGAAACTAATGTTTTCAGTCTAATTTATCAGGAATCTTCATTAATGGAATACAGAATTTGAAATGCTTAAACATGGCAAGCAAATTTAAATACAATTAACAAAATAATAATAAATACATATTAAGGTGACAAACAGATAAAGCATTAGAAAATTTGTATGCTAGTTACATGTTAATGAAGGTGTATTTCCAAGAAGTGGTGAGTATATCTGCATCTTTAGCATTTAGACATTCCCCTGGTGGTTTTCTGCTTGGATATTTCCATTTGCTCTGTTAGTAAGGCTTGGAACAGCAAAGAAATAGTTTTGATAACTCTGGCTTTGTTCCACTAAAGTTTGGATTGGTCTTGGTTAGCAAAACATGTTGAGGCTATATTGTGTGCAACATTACGCAGTGAAAAAAAATATTTGAATCTAAAAATGATGTTCATTTGATTAGTATTTCAAACATTGTAATAGTTGACTAGTTTGCATGAAATAGAGATTACAGCAATTCACTTAAATATTATGTCAGTCAAACATCTATTTTCTATTACACCAGTTGTCGAACAAGCTACTTGGCAAGAGCTGGCTACAGATTAGAGAGACAGACTGTTGACAGCTTGACCCATCAAAGATGTGACTACCAATTCATAAGTTAGTGGTGCCGAGATCGCCTTGCATCATTAGACATCTTGACACAAATCATCGACAACATTGTTATTTAAATTAGATTTCAATGCACTTGTGGGAAAGATACCACTTCCATTTTTCAGTATGTGCCACAATTGAATTTAAATCAAATTAATCAATATAAACTGTGTTAACTGACTATTCACATAATATAAATAGCATCCAAGAATTCATGTTTAAAGGTGAAAATTATACGTAATATTAAACTGCATTTGTAGGCATGAAATACAGTTAAAAGGTAAAAAAAAAAAAAAAATGTTTTATTTTAGGGGTCAGGAACACATTAATTCATTTTATATTGTTTATTATTGGAAAATTTGTTTTGGTTTTAGAACAATTTTTAGGAACAAGTTCAAAAACTGAGGGTTTGACTGTACTTGTTGATCAGTTGCACTAGCTAGGAAAAATATTGAAGAAAAACTAGATGAAATTGGGACACTCCAAGTTTGGAGTCAGCTTTTATTACTTCAACAATTTCAGCATTTTGTAACCAGAAGCTCATCCAGAGTGCTAGACTCATGTTAAGATTTAAATCCCCGTGTTTGCATTTCAGACTTTACTGCAGTGTTATCTTTTTCAAATTCATATAACATTACATGTCTTAAATGTTCTTCCAAGAAGCTCATTTTGATACACACTAATAATTTAAGTTTTTGATTATTAATTTAAAAAATTAGCACTTGTATAATAAATCAATCAGCTCATGCTACAGCATGAAAACAATGTTTAGAAAATACTTATGACTTATGATTTTAAGATAACTATGAAATTGTTAACTATAAACTTTTAATTCTAGTGAATGTTTGTTAACATTCCAATCACAAGATTAAAGAAATTTCCTTTATTAGCATTGTAAACTTATCTTTTATAAATCTTTTTGCTTCATTAACTTTGAAAATTCAAAAACTATTATCCCAATATTTCAGGAAAGTGATAAAACTAAGAAGAAATACGGTGATAAAATCCACTACGGCAGGATCCACAAAGATTTAATATTGAAGGAAATGAAATTCAAAGTAAAAGACATTTTCGTTCTCATCTGTGGATCTTTCTCATTTAATAATGACATGAAAAACATAATAAATCAGTTAAGGATTCAAAATCATTTTATATTTTAAAAATAACTGTCTGAAATTGTATAAAGAATACCAGTATGTAAATATTTTTTTATACTCTTTTATAATATAACATTAATTATAGATGGGCAATTATTATTATTTCTTGCTCATCTGTAATTAAACAAAATATTCTGTTATAATAAAGAATGTAATTATAACTTAAAAATCTATAATAATTTTTGAGTGGTTTGCAGTCGTAATACAAAACAATAATGCCACAGAAAAATATATTTCTACATTCCAATTTAAACTTAACCACTTTTCAGTTTAGATAAAGTTAATTTATAACAATAACTTTATCTAATGTCTTGTATAAATGTAAATAGTTGATTTTTTTTTAATCGCTTGATCACTAAATTTAAAAAATAATCAACTTCTTTTGATTCTTTTAGACTCCCAAAATCAATTCATCAATTCAAAAACCAGATTAATGATTTGAATTGGTGAAAAGAATCATTTTGTCCATCACTAATTTTAACTCTCTCCAAATCCTTCACATCTTCAGCTTGAGGTGTTAATAAACTAATCTAAAAATAAAAAATTATGCAATTCCAAATCATATATTTGTTTGTATAAAATACAGTCAACACCCTTAATTGTCAAATTTTGACAATTAAGGGTGTTGAGTAAATTTCTGGGAGTGGCACCTACATTTAAATCTCTGAAAATATATTACCTCACTGTACTAAGTAAATAAACATTATTTAATTTTGCATGTGCAAGAGTTGACATTTGTTAAACTAGGTATTATGTTATGACAATGGTTGGAAGACTGAGGACAAGTCATCCAGGTCTTTCTGTCCAACAACAAAGTAAAAGATAGAAGCAGATATGACCGAAGACCCGGTTTGGCAACTGGCAACAATGGCCGATTGTTGACCATCTAAAGTCCCCTGTATCTCAAGTCTCTCTCATCTGGTGGTTATATTCTGGAATATCCTAAGTTTTGGGGGAAAGTTTTCTTTCCTCTACTGGTGATTCAGTTCTTGATAAGTTAATACGTCAGTACAAAACATGTCATCAACATTTTGATGTGTCTTGTACTGATACAGCATTCTTCTTGTTACAGATGTTCTGGTTGAGTTCCTTTTTAGAATTTTTGTTTGATTAATAAAATTTAAAGTCAAAAGTAAATTATATAATAGGCAAATATTTCAGATCCCCACAATAAAGATAATTTAAATGGTACGATTTATCATTTTTCTACTTTCATTTTAATTGGAAACAATGATTAACTTGTGGCAACAAAAAGGTTAAGTTTTCTTCAAGTTTATTAATATATTAAGGGGTAGATTTAATGAATTCTATAATCCATTACAAAAGAAAAATTTAAGAAACTCTTTTTCGAAGCCAGTTTTATGACTTAATAAGAAAATTGGTAGTTTTTTTATTTAACAGTTCAATCTAAAATGACTAAAACAGTAAATTAAAAACAAGATGTTTTTGTTTTTAAATTACAAATTAAACTAATTATAGATTAAAGTGTTCAATATTCATTTTTTAGATCAGTTTACTCATTTGATTGTTTTCATGTTTTACACATACAATCTTTTAGATGAACATTACAATTAAATATTTATTGCTTTATTTAACTGCTTTTCAGTGTATGCATAAAATAAATTTCAAAATATTATCAGCAAGATATTCTAAAATTACATCTGTAAATTAAACAATTTAAATATATAATAAAACTTCTCTGTTACTGTTTTGATATAATGTGCTTTTCAATAATGNAATATTATATCTGTGAGACTTAATACAATACAAGAATTTTAGATTTGATCAAAAGGTTTTAACTGCATCTGTACATGAAGGCCTACTGTATATGTCTTACATTTGCCACATTAAATTTAAATATATAATAAAATCTCTGTTACTGTTTTGATATAATGTGCTTTTCAATAATGATTAATAAAACAGTAATTTTTCGAAGTCTGTCAATTGATTATGCAATAATTCAGGAATTATCAAAATATACACAGACATTTCAGAAGAAAATTATTTTAGACAGTGCTAAAATATTTTATCACTTGAAAAAAGAATTTGAAAATGTTATTATTAAAGAGAGAACAATAAAATCAGAAAATTTACTTATTCAGCCAGCTTTTGAAATGCAGCAAACCATTGGTTTTCAGAGGATTAAAAGATAATTTATTTTTATAAGTCATAGTAGGTGATCTACTTACAAACAGGTTAGGTTCCCAAGGATTGTCATAGGTCAAAATACTAAAATTAAATGGTTATTCCATGTATATTTGTACATGGAATAACCACTTATTATTTAGCTTTCAATGTACAATAGAATACATTGTTTACCTGCTCGATATTGCTTAGCAGTGTTTTATAATAATCAGTTTAGTTTCCATGGTTTTAGAGCCATGCTTTTTGCACTTCACTGCTATATTTACTATTGTTTTGGATGCATTTCTGAAGCACTATCATAAAAGTTTATAAAAATTGCAAACGATAACAAAAAATGCCATTATTCCAATGTTACTGACTTCCACACCACCTCATAAGTGGCAATGGAAATAAGATTAATTTATTACTGGCCAAAGACTGATTTCGACACCACTCTGAGCAGCATGAGAACTTCTAAAATCTGTCTAAAATTAAATTTTAGAAGTACAGTCTAAACAATTTGTTCCAGGGAGATAAATAGGGGAGCACCTGTAGTCTTATTCCTAATCCAAAAGAATTTAAAGTAGAATGCATTTTTATATTTTGAGTACTGACAAAATCTCTTTTTTACAAGTAACAATCTTGCTGTTCTGGTGATCAAATGTATTACACATCATTTCTAGTTATTGAGATTAATTGCTAAAAGTGTGAGTCAAACTTAATTAAAGATGTTTGTGATCATTAGTTTTTAATGGGAATTATAATTTGGGGAATGCTACATAGTGTGGTGTTGCACATTAATGTAAATAAAAAAAGTTACTGAAATAAATCAAATCTCTTGATGAATCAGGATTCATCAATATATGATTTTATATTGTGAACATAATCCACATCTCTGCTCGATGGTTACTTTTTAATTTTTATTAACATTTTTTAAATAAAAATATAGAAGTTTAATCTACTTAAAAATTAGAATTCTACATTTAAAAATATAAAACAGATTTTCAATTCTGCACATTTGTTTGCTTTCTATGAAATCAGATCTTTTCAACATCGCTGGCAAAATATTGTAACATTTTATTCTTTAAAATAAATATTTTTAAAAAATCCTACAATATATGAAGATATATGCTTTATAATTAAAGAAATATAAAGTGTTATTTATCAAAGATGTAGCAATATGAAAGCACCTTTTTTTTTTTTAATGTGGTCCTCTTAATCCAATCTCTGTCAATCTTTAACATTAGATATGTTGGAAATCTTTAACATGTTGAGAGATGCTGTCCTAGTCACTTCACGCTAGAGATTCCAAATTTCGATCACTTCTCTACATTCTGAAACAAGAAATTTCCTGGAGTGCATTAAATTTTAAAATTTTAAGAGGCTAATCATGGAAATAGCTTTATCATGTGGAAAAATATTCAATTGTCCTATTTTCATAAATTTACATTTCCTTTTTTAAAAAGAAAAAAAATAATAATACACCTTACTCATAGCCATAAATGCCAATTTGTTAATTATGTAATCACTTATTCAAGGTAATTTGGGACCTCTGCAGCACAATAGGTCTTGCAGAAAGGAATATTTTATGTGCAGTAACACATAAGTGACAGATAATACAACAATGAAAGGGAAGTACTTACTGATACAAATACACTTACCAGGAAGTTCAATTGTTAAAAGTGTCCATTCTAAACTGCAGTACATTGATGACATCATTATAACAGTGATTATTGGACATAATCAAATGTGAGGTCTAATAACTGCTGTTGGTAAATGCAGATAGCTCGTGACACCATTTATTCTAGCTTTCCCATAACATTGTCATGTTGGTGAGATCAGCCAAATCTTACACATCCATTCTTGCTTACTTGTCCACAAATCATATGATGGCACTGAAGCATGGTAAGCTTCTGATGAGCCACATTACTCCTAAATAACACATCAGGGAACCTGTTACTGTACAAAATATTCCTTTGTATGAGAGTTATCATGCTGCAGAATTACAGAGGTACCAAATCATCCTTTATATTTATTTTAAAGTTTTTCTTTTTGTTTGTTATGAATTTTTTGGTGGGTCTGCAAATTGTCTGCTCGAGAAAAGCTCTTGTGGCAGTAACTGCAATGATGGTCTTTAACTCGAGTATGCGTTTTACTGTGTCTAAGAAGATCTTTTGGTGAAACAAAGGCTTGGAAACAAACAGAACATATGTATTTCCTTTCCTTTTTCTGGTGAACTTGCTGAATGTGATAATTTAGGATCTTTTTTGTTTTCAGATATTTCTCACAAAAGCTAGAAAGAAAATAATTAAAAAAAGATACAATTTTCTGTAGAAGCATCTGCATATTTCTTAACCTTTTTAGTACATAAAGTATAAATTTATTTAATCTTGTCTTCTTGTATTAGTGAAAAAATTTAAATGGATGTTTTACCTGCATTTGACGGGACTATTCTGTTGATGAACGTTAGTTTCATGAGTATACAGATAATTCTTCGTCTTAAAAGTTTTGCCGCAAGTATCACACTGAAAATCCCTTTTATTGGAGTGGACTGTTGTATCATGTTTCTTCCATGAATGTTTGTATTTGAATTTTTTCCCTGAAAGGAAAATTACATTAACAATATTTTAAGATTCCAGAAATATGAAATATATATTTATATGCACACATCTGTTTAGTCTCATATCTAAATTTGTTTTCTTCTAAAAACAGAACACAAAAAAAAATTTTTGGAGCATGAATATATTATTGTAATATTTTCAAATAATAAACAATAATAAAAACAAAACTAGTTCATTTTTTAAAGCAAATTATATTTCTATTTCATAAGCTTTTTGACAAGACTGTCTTATTTATAAAATCGCCCTGCTGTCAACAGCTGCACACCTTAGAGGTATGAAGGAGTACATGTCAGGAGTTGCAATTTGGCACAGAGTATTTTGTGACCAAATTATGTGCACATAAAAAATCCAGACTTGTAGATACTCGGGGGGACTGGGAACCAAGTCAAAATAAAATATAAAATGGCAACATTCTTTCTACAAACAGGCGCAGGTGTGAGATTTGCACATGCGTTGCTCGTTGAAAAGTTGGAAATGTGAATGTTTCGAAATCAAATTTTGACAAGCCAATCTTTGAAAAAACCCATTTACCTCTCTCAACAATTTCTCAACAGAGATATCTTTTTTCAGCATCGGAGCATTTTTGAAACTAGATGGCACTAGTATAATTTTACATTAAAACTAACTTCCAAAATATAATTTTTTTTTGTTTTAACATTTATTAATATATTTATTTTATTTGTGCAAAATAAAAAATNAAATAAAAAATTACACTTCACTTCAGAAGTTAATTTAGTATCAAAAACGTAAAATATTTGAGTAGCCCAAGACATAGCCAAAGATTGCAGCACCACAGCACTGGCGAAAATTTAAATTTGCTGACTGGAATTCTTTCGGATAATTGACGTTTCGGATGATTGACTTTCAGATAATCGACGCTCTACTGTATATTTATTTTATTTGTGCAAAATAAAAAATAATTTCAGATGATACAATAGCCACAATTATTTTTCAAAATGGAAAATTTTTGTTATGCATCGACAGAAATCAACTTGGGGCGACATGCAATGAAAGGAGAGAAATTTCACCGAAAATGCATTGTGGATGACCTCATGGTAGTGGCTGGCAAAGTTTGAATGATTGCACTCAAAACCAGCAATACCAAAGAAGATTGGAGAATGAGAACAAGACCCACCATGAGTGTTGAAGTGATCCCACTTAGTAGTGAGTCTCCAAGACACAGTTGTCCCAAAAATGGCTTTGCCGTTTTATTTGTTAGAAATTGTTTTACACTATCTTAACAAGTTACTTTAAAAATTTTTCAACTATTCATTGCTTGAACATATGTTTTTTGAGATTGTTTTTATCTATGAATTAAAGTATAAGTGCTTTGTAAAACCTACGGTTTTTGTTTTTATTTCCATTAAAACAAATAAGTCAAATATTTGGATAAAAATGAAATGAATCATTATAAAAGTTTATATATTGTTGTATTTAAATATATGTAAAATTTCACTCACCACATTGTTCACACTGAAAGGGTCTGTAATCATTATGTTTATGTAAATGCGAGTCAAGCTGTGTTTTATACAGGAATTTTTTGGGACAGAAGTGACACCATAGCATTTTCTTTCCTAAATATAAAACTTAATATTTATATCATACATAATTACATTAACAATATGTTCTTAAATTATAAAAATTTTATTATTCTAATTTATTAAAACATTCAAAGATGATTGTTTATATATGTGAAGACAAATCTTATGTAAGTTTATGAGTCATGTTTCCATGCAGCTCCATGAGGTAGTTGTCATAATTAAAATTATTCCCATTTTCCCAGAGTAATGAAGTGATGATAATGATTTCTAGTGATTACTATTGATCTACTCACTTTTGAAAGATTATAAAATCATCAATAAGTCAATCTATTTTTACTAAAATTAAACCAATTAGGGAAAATGTAGCTCTTTGCATAGCTATCATGACAACAGAGTATCAGTTTTATCTGTAGATCACTGGCAGAAAAAGATGGCTTAAAACTAGCTAGTTGTAACTGCAGGAAACTCATTAGATACAATGTTGGAATAAATCTGCATGGTTAGGGCTGGATTTATAAACAAGCACAGTAGGCCAGGGCCTAGAGTGGCAGATTTTGAAGGAATGCAAACTAGCAGGCATAACAATTTCTCAACCAAATGATCAGCTTAAACAACCGGACTATAAATCCACTATTATTAATGATTACCTCTAGTACCAAATTACTTAGTATCTAGACATTAGGTACCATCTCTTATCTAAACTAATAATTATAATTTTAATAATTTATTAAATAATTAGTATAATTACATAATAATTTCACAAAAAAGTAAATAATTACAAATATTGCAATATTTATAATTAATTATTAAGTTGTCTACATAAATAAATAAAAATAATTGTTTAAACAATCTAATTACATTGGATAGATGGCTTTGATCAGTGACTACTTATTATGTAAATATATGCTAATATGCATGATGTAATTTTTAATTAAAATGTGTCATGCACATTAATTGTACTATTTAGTAAAATGTATCATTTTCATATTTTAAAAAATGTACTATATAGTATATAGTCATGACATCAGGACCACTATTTAAATTAATATTTACAATTCACATTTCTAAGTAAACCTTCTCCACATTTATAATATTTGGGCTGCAATTTTAAAAATTTGCAGACCTATAAATTCCTATTAGCATCTGTCAGTCTGTCCTTCCTTAATCTCATGAACGGAGTTAGATAGATGAAAGTCGAAACCAGATATGGAAAACTTAGGACAGGAAACCCCAATTAACTATATACAAACTTCAATTCATGTTATTTCAATTCAAAAATTTTCTCCAGAACAGATTAGATAGATGATCAGCATGACTCTTGTTAACAGGAAAGGTATGATGTACAGGGGCAAAACACTATTAAAATCGATAGCATTGTGATATCATCACAATAAATAACTGTTTGTTTAAAAAGACCAGTTTAAAACCTTGGTTTATAGTTTATATGGATTATTACAGTTTGAATATATGTTTCATACAAACTCAAAACTGCCTACCATAAGAGGCAGTACTTTCAAGACAAAGTTCTTCAACAAAATTATTTATAATCCCAAATTTTATTGTACAGCAAATCCATTATATATTGGTTTCCTGTTTTTGTTTCCACATAATAAATCTTTACCAATAAGATAATACAGGGTAGCAATCAAAGGTAAAACATTTGTCATCATTGACAATCATCATTTTGCAAGCAAACCACTCCAGTAAGCAATAGTAATACATAGGGGGATAGATTAAATTTTCATTGGTTCTCTACAATTACATCACAGGTGGCTTCACAAACTGTCATTTCATACAAGAATAACAATTTACCTTTTTGAATTGCAACACTTAACTAATTATTGGTTAAATAAAAGAAAATGATTCAAATATAAAATCTCAACCAGAAAAAACTAAAACATGTCATGTAAATGTGTTCTAAATGTCAGTAATATGTAGAAAAATTAAATCTAGGAAATGTTTCTTTAGATTTTTTTCATGTTGAAGAATTTACTAATTTTAACAGTGAGATAAATTATTAGCTCAAAAGATTCAAATGTCAATATAGTCAGGCAGCATTTATCTTAAAGGGCAAGACAGATTCGGCCACAACGAGTTTTAATTCCTCCAGTGGCACCCATAATTTAGCCACCACATCTTTACAAATGCCAACAATGCCAACAGAAGTACAAACTTCTAAACCAGAAGACATTGCAAAATCTATTTGCTACAGAAAAAGAGTACAATATCTACAGAGACTTGTCACTATTACTGACTAATAAAACCCATTCTAGGCAGTATTTGTCATCTCTCTTACAATGTGCAAGGTCATGCAGTCACAACTATCTCGGAATATTTTTTTACGCTTTTTTCCTCACTGGAAGATAATCCATGGCAACACAATAAACTATCTGTTACTTTAGCTGGCAACACGTTGGCAAGGAGAAGAACCGACAAAACCTGAGGAATAAGACTTTGGCGGGTGCATTTGACCCAGCTAGTCAATGTAAGTTTGCCATGCAATAAATGCAAGATTACACGGAGTAAGATTTGTATCTTATTTATTATAAAACATGCAATCACCACAACCCAGCCACCCAGCACCTCAGACCTTATACCCCTTGACTTCTGCATTTGGATTTTGTAAAAGACAAAGTCTAGTTGCCACCCATGCCAAAGAATATAGGCTACAATGGTTACAAGAAAGAATAAGAAACATCGTCATTTCCGTGGGAGCAGAGTTCTTGGAAAAAGTGTAAAGAAGTAAATTTTGACAGGATGTGTGTCCCATGACCAGTGGAAGCCAAGTCAAAAAGTTTTACACGTTCATAAAAACTCAAAGCGTTACTGATTATTATATAACAAACCTCATTGTATTTCACATGGTTTAAACATAAATCTTTACTCTAGTCATTTACTCTAGAACGATATACCCCACACTCATTCCAATCCTTCATAACAGCCAATTCCAATCAAAGTATAGCCAGACAGGTAGCACCAGGGCCCGCTCTAGGGATGGACAACCTGGAAATTTGTCCAAGGCAGCATTTTGGTTGTGAATGTGACAAAGTATTTATGAGTTAAATACTTAATTAAACAAAATTTATATTTGTCTATTTTTTTCTGTGGCTAAAATTACAATGCAATTTACATTTCGTATTTATTATTTTTGCCTAAAAGCTAAGAAAATATTTGCATTCCTTAATTCTGAAGAAAACAACCATAAAAGAGGGCTTTTGGGCAAAAAGGAAAGCATAAGCAATAATGTTAAATTTTGTCCCAAACCTTAGTGTCACCTTAAGAATACTGCCAATCATACCAATAACTGTAGCTGGTGGGGGAAAAGTCTCTCTCTAAATAAAAATTAATTAGAAACTTTTACATTCCACTACCACACAAAATCATCTTAATAGTTTGGCCATTTTGGCGAATGCATATGAAACTGCCAATCAAGTAAACTTAAAAGAGTTAATAAAAAAGGTTTCTTTTGATTTTAGTATAGTTGATGTAGGCCTACTTTTTATAGGATATAAGTTTTTTGTTTGCTTGTACAATAATACATTTTTGTAATATCATCAAAAATGCATCTAGTTAACAATTTGTAACTAGGTACAGGTATACTTTAATTTTTACTGTTTTGTACTACTTGATTGTTAATTTTATATTACATGTTTCTCTCTGAATAAATTTATGGGGCGGTAATTTGTCTTTTTGTTCAGGGCGACATAAATGCTTGAACGGGCGCTGGTAGCACATCAAGTCCACTAGATTATTTACATCCTCCAAATATTCCGATAACATCGGATTGTGTCAGATCACGAGTTCGACGAGTGCATCAAAGCAAGACATTAAATTAACAGATGGGTACAGATTTTCAAAGTCCATTACTGTCCCTACTTCGTTGTTCACCAGTTCGCATATTAGTCCCAACATAGGATTTCCCATTGGGATATCTTTTGTTTGTACAACACTCCATTGAAACTAAAAAAGGATCGATAGCGCATCAAGTTTTTTAGTTTCAAAGGAATGTCATGTAGCTGGACCTTCCGTAAACGCTGAAAAAAAGCTTTTATAATGCCTTCTGTATAGAAATTTAAAAAAAAAAACCTTTCATAGAGATACATTATGGAAAAAAAAGCATAGGAATATGTCAGAGTAATTTTGGGGAGGGTTATATCTCGTGAAGGGTCACACGTAGAGGTACAGTACATTTCCTTTGACTTTTCTGCTTCTATGGGCACGCTCTACAGCTCCTCGGGTCACGTGTCATTCATATCTACAATTGCGCCGATTACCGAATTTTATACACTTTAAAATTTATATTAAGCAAAATTAAAGAAACAGCAAGGACTAAGGTGCACTTACCCGGTTCGGAAAATCCATGTTTTAAGATTAAATGATCTTTTAACGTGTCTTTCCATTGAAAGACTTTTCCACATTCGTCGCATTGAAAACACAAAGGGTTCCTCTGCGATGGATGTTTGTGCTTAATGTGCACCCTTAAACACACTTTCGATCGATATGTTTTTTGACAAATATCACAGACTAAACGACTCTTTTCTTTTTCCATTTAACTCGCCCATCCTATTTGACGCATATTTGTTTACTCGATTCGACAGACGACTGAAAATGCCTGTTTCAGTGTTGCCAACTTTCAATTACTTTTAAAAAAAGTTGTTATTTTAATATTTGGAATAAAATTTATTGTTGTTGTTGTTATTATTAAAAAATTTAAAACAATTATTTAATCATTTAGTTAATTTATATTTTATGAGAGAAAGTTTATTAATTCAATAATAATAAAACACCATTACTTTCCGTTTCTGGTGGCCGTAAGGTTAGATTGGGAACTTAGAATCGATCCAGGACTGTTCGAAAAATCCTCAAGAATTTTTTGCGAGTGGTTCCTCCTGATATGTTGGACCCCGTCACTCGCACGTTGTCCCTCACCCCTTGCACTATTATAAGCCTAACCCAAAAGGCCCTTTTATTGTCCTTGGGAGGGAAGAGTTTTAAAAAAATCCTTCCGTTACTAAATTGCTTTAATACATAAATTAAAACAAATTGATATTTTAAAGAATTTTTACCCTGATGATTAATCCAAATACTTTTTTTAAAATCATCTTTCTAAAATTAAAATCAATAACGACCCGCAAAATTTCTGCAATAAGCTTAGCTGCAATAATAAAAATATATTTTATACTATTTAAATGGCGGCGAAGTTGCGAGTCGTGCTTACAGCTTACAGCAAAAAGACGGACTTTTACTTCCTAAAATTGCATAAAACACAAACCTTTTTTATAAGAAAGGGACCCATGTTTTGTGCAGTGGCACATTATCCTACGAGCAAAAAAAGCAATTTCCTGGGGCCCTACCAACAAGAAGCCCAAACCAATCATTTATAAAAATATATTTTCTCAAAAAATTCCTCCGAAAAAAAATGTCTGAAGGCAACATGTATACGGCGCCTCCTAATTCAAATTTTCCTGGCCCCATGAAGCGGTAATGAGCCACAGTTAAGAAGAGAAATCTTTCAACAAAGATAATTTTAATTAATAAAACAAATTCATCCAATCCAACACAAACTAATCTTGCAATTCGCGTATCGTATTCTCCTGTCTGCTTCCAGTTTCGTAAGGGTACTATACATGCTAGACAAATGATCATGACGATAAAGTCTCTCGCTCTAGAGTCTAGAGCGAGAGACTAGTGAATTTTTGATCTAACTTGTAAGCCAGATTGTCTAGAGCAGGGGTGGCCAACCTTTTCAGAAGGCGGGCCAAATTTCAGAAATAATATTTCCTGCCGGGCCACGCACCTATTTTTTTTTTTTTTAATTAAAGTAAACAAGCAAGCGTGCTACAGCTTCAACCACATCGTCACTTCCCAGTAGGTGAGATCGTGGTCAAACACTTGCCTGGTTTAATGTAAAAAAACACAAAAAATAGGTATACAGTATTTATTTTTTTGAAGAAAATAAAACATAACCGAGAATCAAACATATTTATTAGACAATTTAAAAATATTTAAAAGTGAGATATCTGACTTTGTTTTACAGAACTAAGTGCATCAAAATTGATCTCCACTGATGATGTCGCTACACGCAAACAGTTTTCCAAATGAACATCAGTAATTCGATCTCACTTGTGATTTGATGTACTTCATGCGACTAAAAAGCTGTTCACACGCATAAGTGTTTCCACATAGCGAAACCATCGACAGAGCATATTTGTAAAACTCAGGATATTTATCCTTGTCCAAATACGTTTCACAGAACTCTTCCAAACCAACTTGACGAAATTTCTCCAACGTTTCAGGGTTTACTTACTTATAGAATCGATATGGTAGACAGGCTACTTGGTTAAAGTAGTTTGAACTGTAATTATAAAATATGCTAAATATGTATTTTAACGTCGATTGCAAAATCTCTCCAGATGCATTGGCGATAATAAAACGAAACTACAGAATAACACGGAACTTTGTCAAGCTGGACTGAAAGTAGTTATGAGTATGAGCCCGATAGCATTGTGAGCTTCCCGAAAACGCCGAAGACCACAGAACATATATAGCTGAGGTCTCATATTAAATTTTATCAACACCTAGCGTCGGACAAAAAACTAAGTAACCTTGAGTGTCAAATAGCGGGATATTTGAAATACTCGTAGCTAAAAATCTATGAATTTTTCCAAAATGAGAGATATTTCAAATTTCTGTTAGCTATAATTTAAAAATACATAATAGGAATAACTCATGACGTAATGTTCTTTTGGTGATATGTACAATAAAGTTAACATTTACGTTCATTTGCCCTAGCTCCACGGGCCGCAACATTACTCCAGGCGGGCCGCATGCGGCCCGCGGGCCTCGTGTTGGCCACCCCTGGTCTAGAGTCTAGACCAGTGTTTCTCAACGGGGGCGATATCGCCCCCATGTGGGCGTTTTTCCATGTTGAGGGGGCGATTTGTATCAATTTATATTTTGGGGGCGAAAAACGATTTTCTGGGCGATATAGTAAAACATTATATTAAGATTAATTAGTTATTTTATTCGTTATATCGTACAATACTTAAACAACATTATACTAGTCACTAGTCTATTCAATGCAGTACGAATTTGGCGTTAGCCCTGGCCCTCGGCATCGGAATTTTGAAGGGGGTGATACTACGTAACAGTTTTATTGAAGGGGGACGATGATTCGTTAGAGGTTGAGAAACACTGGTCTAGACAGTCTGGCTTAGATCAAAAATTTTAATTTACGGCTGCATTGTGCTAGGTATTTAATGCTGAGATTCGAATATGTCCTCAATAGCTTGTGCTTTTTCAAGACCATTGTGGGTTTGACCATGTCTACTCCAATGGAAGTAGCGGGACACGAGACAGATCGCCCAAGAAAAATTTTTAGGTTCTTGATTCTTGCCCATTGCAAGAATCAAGAACCTAAAAATCGTTTATGTTACATACAATAAACACAATTTATTGTAACATAAACGATTGGGAATTATGTATAAGTTTCGTGATTAACTTGTTTTTTTTTTTTACTAAAAATAGAATCGTTAATATTTTTCATGAACGAAGTTGAAAATTATTAAAGAAACTCATAATACACATTTTCTAGACAAATATACGAGCAGTGCCAAAATTATTCTTTATATATCTACAATAATTTATAAACCTAGAAATGTGGTTTATAACTTATTGTAGAGAAACTGGTAGATAAATTTTTTTACTGAAATACTTTTTGGTCAACTGGTCAATTAAAGAGATTACACAAGTTGCAAATCATTGAAACACATTTCTCCACCATCGAATTTTGAAAATAACTTAATTCGATCTTCATTTTTGCCATCAGATTACTATCAATAAAATTGGAATTAGCCTGCAAGCATGCAAATTATTAATTACATATTTGTGTGGAGATTTATAAATTTACGTGATAGTTGCTGATATGCAAACACTATTCAGCCATTTGCAATTATTTAGAATCTATTTTTACTATAATGAATATATTATATTCAGAAATAAAGTTTTTATCTTGTAAGAGTAAACCACTTTATATGCAAACCAGAATATTTAACAGTAAATACGAGCTAATTTAATGATTCACAAATACACGAGTAAGTCCGCATTAAAGATTGTAATTATGACGAGAAAACTCGAAAATGAGATTGTTGATTGAAACATCATAAACCACAATTGTACCAAAGTATTAACGAATTCATTGAAATTCGTTAATACTTTGGTACAATTTAACACAATACCGTTGAATTTTTATTGCTCATTGAAGCAATAAAAATACAACGGTATTGTGTTAAAAATTTATATTTGGAATTTACAGCAAATGTACAAAGAATCAAAATGATAGAAAAAACGAAAATCTTCAGTATGTAACATGAGAAATTAGAACGCATACGATGTAAATTATCAGGTAAAACCTAAATGTTAAAGAAAAGACAACAAAAATGATGTGGCATGTTTTTTTTTATTTCTCTCTTTAACCGTACAACTCATCTTATTTTTTCCCATTTGGTAGGCTCTTGTAAACCAGAACAATATATTGGTATTTTATCAAAACACCATCAAGTCATTCATATATATTATATATTTATATATAATTTATATGTATATAAATTCAAGACATGTTTTATTTGATGAGTAAGATCAATATTAAAGTTTTACAATTGGTAAAGTACATTCCAGAAAAGTTAACTCAAAAGTTAATTTTTAAAACAGGAATTTTTGTTTTCAGTGAATTATTAATTATTATTATTTTTATTATTATTAATATTATCAAACTTGATAAGTTATATTTTGTGGCAGGAATTTAAAAACGGTAATGCATAAAAACAAAAAATATACAAGATGAAGAACATTTTGTATTAGATACATAAAAGTACGTGGACATTTTTCCTTAATTATGTCTATTTTGAACTACATTCTCTAAAAGATATAATTTGATCTAATTAAATCAGAACCATATTTCAACTTTTCATTCGTTTTTCAGTACTGAAAACCAATCTTGTGGAAAACTATTATGCCTAGATGGGTAATTTGTTTTAAAATGTAGAAACTGATCGAATACCACATCTTACTTGTTTGTGCCTTGTGGCATTGTACCATTTAGTGCAAAACAATAAAAATGTTTTCTGGACCTCAAGCGAGAGCTAGACAGCTATTGTTTGTGCAGAGAGATTGGAATTATTTTCCCTGAGGTCCAAACTGTAATGAGCATTTCATTTGTTGTTTTATATTTCTAAGTGGCAGGAGAGAAGGCCTGCAATCAGGAACTTTCAACTATTCTGTATAAAACATCACCCTTAGAACCGGGTGAAAAACATTACTACAGAATGCCAACTTGTTAAAACCAAGTTGAGGATGCATTTCACACTCTGTACACATTAAACAATTACTGGCACTTTAAGTACAATGATTGATTTCCAAATCGTTAAGATCTACTTTGAAATGCTACGGATTATATATTCTTGCTGAAATACATTCATTTCAGAACACTAAAACATACTTTAACACAACCTCAACCACTTTTTTTTTTTTTGTTATGAAATAGACAAGAAAAGGTTTAAATATACATATATATATTTTTTCTTTTAAATTAAAGTGCAGATTACTTGTTATGATCATTCGTATGTATTACAGTGATTCAAATATTGTCAATGTGTTACAGGGAATTTCACTCTAAATATTAATAATAATAGTATTAATGTCGATTTTAATTGTAAAAACAACTTATATGTGCCACATTTTTTTTGTACTGTTTTAAACAACTGCGCAGTAATTTGTACAGGAAAACAACTGTACAATAATTTGCACCAGAAATTCCCTGCCAACAACTAAATATTCTTGCACTTTTTTTTTTTTTGTTTTTAATTTGAGGTTTATGAAAATTACCCCAAAAGCGTTACTGGTTCAGAGGCTTTTCTGAGGCTCAAACTGCGGAGTCGACGTTGAGCAATTTTGGATTCGCTTGGAGGGGAAAGCCCAAATATTGGGGATGGACTGCATGATGGAGGTGTGGGAGTACCAGGAAGTAACAGATCTTCTTCTTCGACACGGTGGGGTCTTAATTCCATGCTGTATGCTAAGTGACGTAAAACAAGACGTTTCATAGCATTGGCACTTTCTGCAAAAGCTGCCAAATCTTTGGCACTGTTGTTTCTGTATGTAAAAATTGAGTTTTAAATATAAATCCACTATGAATTAATATAGGATATTAAAAAGAAATTACCTGCGTATGATGCTGGGCGTTTCCAGACGTGTGGTTGGACCACCATGTGAAATCCATGGATGATTGAGAACCATTTCTGCTGTATATCTCTGGCTGGCATCTTTCACTAGTAGATGTCTTATTAAATCTTTTGCTTCTTCAGAAATGTATGCCCATTCTCTTTCAGGAAAATAGTATGCACCATCTTGTATACATGTAAACAACATGTCCTGGAATTTGTTATAGAAAAAAATAATAATAAGAATAGTTTAATATGAAGCTAAAATTAGCAATATTTGCCAGATATAATCAGTCATTCACTTTTATAAATCATTTAAAAAAAGACATTATTTGTCCAAAAAATCCCCTTCAAAATCAAACAAACATTCACCAGAGTTCAAGAGTTACTCAGAAGACAATTAATTCTCAGATATTTTATTGAAATGCATTTTGAATGGAAAATCTTGTTGATACCTCTTCAATGACTGTACAATGTGTGACAGAGCCTACACTGATATTTCAAAGAATACAAAATATCAGTGTAAGCTCTCAGATTGTACAGTCATTGAAGAGGTATCAACAAGAATTTCCATTCAAAATGCATTTCAATAAAATATCTGAGAATTAATAACCTTCTGAATAACTCTTGAACTCGGGTGAACGTCTGATTTGAAGGACATACATAACATTTCTGTTTATTCGTACAGAAACCACTTTTAAGTGGTTTCATCTATAACACTTCTCAAGATTAAGGAAAGACAGAAACAGATGGCAGTGGAAATTTAAGTCTATAATTTATCCAATGACTCCTTTTAGTGACAAAGTATTAGTAATTAATTAAATATAATCACAGAAAAGTAGCCCGATGTAATCTAGTGATTGTTTGGCTTTACAAATTTATCAGGTTTCATGATGTTTGTTTAATGTAAAATCATCTTAAATAGTTTTAATTATGAGCTGATGTTTCCAACAAATTGTATAAGTGAATGTCCTAAATATTTTTTTCTGAGCAAAAATGTCAAATTGATAAATTTGATATTGTGATTAGGAATTGCTGGATCCCTCATCCAGCAATCCAGGAGCCATATTCTGGTCACCGTCTCTAGTCTCTCGTAAGCTGGTCGCTGATTGGCTAATCATTTGGATTAGCCAAATTTATCAATTTGACATTTTTGCTCAGAAAAAAATATTTAGGACATTCACTTATACAATTTGTTGGAAACATCAGCTCATAATTCACTGGATCCAGCTGAGGCCATATTCTGGTCGATTGGCTAATCCAAATGATTAGCCAATCGACCAGAATATGGCCTCAGCTGGATCCAGTGAATTCTTCGGCCTGTTGGATCCAGCACCAGGTGCTGGATCCAGCGCTGGAGATCCGCAAATACTCAATTAACTTTCTAAATAATGGCGCAAAAGTCTACGTTGTTGGCATTGCCACTTTGCTACATGTGCTATTGCTTGGCGGTGAAAGCAACATTGCTGTTCAGTGTGGCACATGCTACACCTCCTCTACACTGCACCGCCCGCCCTTTTACCTCTGCTGATCTAATTGCCAGTTGACTTTCCACTCTCGCTAAATAAAGTGCCTTTGCACTAAATAAAATAAGTAAATCCTCTCCTAGCCCTGGTGCATAATTCTAATTTACGGTCGGTTGTGACATCAATTAATCACGTGACAGAACGATTGCAGTTTAAGCCTACGGGAAGCTGCAGCCTCACAGCTTGTCCATGAAAGCTAACCTCTCTCTCCAGGAGATGACTGTCACTAGCTAATAGAAAATCTTTTATTTCAGCTCAATTGATATTTTACTGGAGACAAAAAATAAGAAAGTTTTCATACTTTTATCTGGTGACTGCACGATAATAGGGAGGCGTGACACTCTCTCTGCTAAGCCTATCACATGTTTAAACAGACAGTCCATCAGATATTGATGCTGATACACTCGCTATCGCTCGTGGTCGGCTAGTACTACACCTTTAAGGAATGGGAAGACCATCAAAATATAAACACCATTGTTGCCACTAACGGATCAAAAACCACCAACACCATGACTGCGGCTTTTATTGACTCAAAAAGCAACATTTATGGCCCATTTCTCTCTCCACCCTGAGGCCTACACTTAACAACAGAATATGATTTTTAAAAAATCACCAACCAAAGATGATGTGTTTTTGCAAAAGTATGTAAAAGAAGCAAAGGACAAAGAATTGAGTTTGATTCTTGACTGCTACACTAGATGGAATAGTCTCCTCAGCATGCTAGAACATTTCTACAGTGTAAAAGTTTGCATCAATAAAGCTTTAATAGACACTGGCTCAGACACTAAATTCTCCACTGACAAGTGGTCACTAATCAATGAGTTGCTCACCAGTCTTCAATTGGCTAACTACTAGACTACTACTAGTTACTTACTCACTACTAACACTAATAATTAAATTACTTATAAATAACTACAGACTGATATGTAGAGCCTATATAAGAAAACTGGCAAGACTGATAGCCACTTAGTCACTGATTATCCGTCCTTACATTATTATAATATAATATATTAATATAAATTAATTAGTAGAATTACCTTTGCTATTATTTAACTTAAAGATTACATTATAATTAACTTTAAATGTTTAGTTAGATTATAATTATCTCTATCTCAAGTGTTAAATCGAATCAAAGTTAAGTTTACTACCTAAATGTGTAAGAAATTTTACTGATTTATAGTAACCAGTCTAAATAATAAAAGTGACTTAAGTATTTAAAAAAATGTTTTATTTCTTTTAAAAAAAAACCCATAAATTTCTGGATAGATAGCTAGATAACACTTTATTGCACCAAAAATACATCCACACTGGATCCAGCTGTAATGATGTTGGTCCAGCAAAAATCCAGCTGGATTAAAAACATTGCTGGATTGCAATCCCTAATTGCGATAGGATCTATTTAAAAATAAGAGTAAATTGTCAATGATGTAAGAATCTTCAATTGATATCAAGCAGTTTTAATAGAATATTTAGACACATGGTATATTATTGAATATTATGTTCAATCCACTATTTCTGATCACGAAGGAAGAAAATATTTTTTTGACAATTTGTTTTAAAAATTATCTATTCATGTAATAACAAAGTAAAATATGGATATACTAGCAGATTGCATTGCTTGGGCAAAAAACAACAGCAGCAAAGATTAAGATCATTAGATTATTTCTTACTTCTAACCCTTCTATTATATATATTATATTAATTTAATTTATATTTACAAAGGTTATATTATGTAAAAGTTTATCACACCAAGGTGACCAAAGATAACCTTTGTAGATAAATTAAATACTACGATATAACAAACATTAAAATGAAAACTATATAAAGACTTTGTTCAGCCTACCATTGTCACATTTATAGCAATACTCAGCTGGTACGAAATGGCACAATTTCATTGGTCAAGTAGTTAGGAATTGAAAATATATCTTAAATTTTTCAGATATCATATGTTTCTAACGTTAACTCTAAAAAACTGTACCATTAACACCTGAATATCAAACGGTAATCTGCCAACGAATCAAATTTCCCAAAAAACAGACAAAATATTTAAATTCAGCACCCTCAAAAACTGCTTAAACATATTTTGTGCTTGCAACTTTGTATTATGTAATTTTCCTATTTGAATGTCACCATACTGCTGGTCTGATAGAAAGAAGGAACTGTTGCGAAAGGGGTTTGAAGTAATTTGAATCCTCTCTTCCAGGGGAGGTCAACAACTACTAATTAATACCAGTATTAATATTTGAAAAGTGATCTGTGTTAGACAGGTTGTGATGGCCTCGCATATGACTGAAGTTACTTACCTTAACGAGACAAGGCATGGAAATCTTAATAGAAGAAGGCCAGATTAACTATATACAACTTCCAATTTGTACTGAGTCACATTATTTCAATTCAAAAATTTCCCAAATGTACTTAGATAAATAACTGCCATGACTATTGCTAATAGGAAAAGTATGATATACAGGGGCAAAATACTACTACACTCCACGTAGGAACTTGCTGAAATGTGCTACCTGTCATGATAAAAGAATAACGGCACATCTATTTTGTGCTATATCATTGTTGCAGTAATTCGTTGAATATAATATATATTTTTATTAATTATAATTATTTTGTTAATTATAATTAAAGGTTAACTAAATATAACTAAACAATTATTTTGTTAAATTTTTTCCAATAGATGGCACTACATGTAAAGCCAACAATTAAGTGTAGACAAATTAATTGATATATGAGCCATCCAGAAGCCAAATCAACTAACTTCACATTTTGAATTTTTTTAAATTTTAGTGTGAAAGCACTTGATATTATGAATATAAAGAAGTTAAGCGTATAAGTTCTCTTAATAATAAGGATCAATACCACTTAATGACAAAATTTTATAGGCTATTGAAAAAACTTATTTATTTCAGAAGCCAATCTAATTAACTCCATATTGTAACCCTAATCTGCCAGTGCACAGTGTGATTGCAATGCTGCAGTGTGCACTGACCAATACTTTGTATATAAACGATAAATTATTTAATGTTATCTCATCACAAAAAGTAAGTAAAAGAAATTACTTAGTTACGATCCAACTTCCGCAGAAGTAAGGATACTTGTGAAATATTGTACAATTGTTTAATTTTGGTGACAATTGTTTTTAGAAAAAAGAAAAGTTATACCTGTTATAGCAAGATAGATAAGACTAAAATTGATTTTTTTCATTCCTCCTATTAAACATGATTCTTATAAAAACTTAACAGCAAATTGACATGGTGGGACCTTAAATAAAGATGACAAAGAAGACATCATTTATGTTGCTGAACGATCAATTTAAAACAAAATAATAAATAGCCATTGTAACAGTAACAGAACAGTTATTCATTTTTGTGAAAAATCTTTAATAAAAAAATGTATGCTAATGTGAAGACTGAATTTGATGTTACATTTTTCACTTGCCAAATCGATTAACTCCCTTAATCTCACCAAAATCGTAATAATAGTAATGATAATAGCATATCTATGCTATCTTATATATTTTATATGACAAATAAAAGCTACATGTACAATAATACATTCTACAATGTTTATTTGAATTTATATTTTACAAGGAATTTTAAAAAAGAATGTATATTACTTTGTCACTTTTCTCCCCTTTTTGTTTTATAGAGTTAATCAATTTGGCAAGTAAATGGCACATATAGAAATCCAATCAATAAATTTGGGGTGGGATGTATGACATGACCTAACTTAGGAGTATTTGAACATAACTGCTGAGTTTTGTAGCAATTGGTCGAATGACCTAGGTGTGTATAGCAAACAAACAAACATCCTCATATATATATATATATAGATGCTTTGGTACAAGTGCAAGAGATAAAGTTGTAAGCACAACCAAACTATCACATTTGAAAAAGATTAAACAGATATGATTATTTTGAATATAAAGCCAAATGATTAATAGCATTTGTAAAATAAGCTCAGTGACATCTATATAATTCTATAAATTACAAACTACAAAAGTGATAGGCAATTGATTGACTTATTCATCAAGACAATATAATTTTACCACTTGGCCAATAATTATGAAGAGTTCAAAACTAAATATAGTTTTGAACAAAAACAATACGATCATCTTCATAATCACTAGATATTGTCCTTTTCTAATTCCAAATTCTCAAAATATTTAAAAAAAAGATTTGTCATGGAAACCACAAAACAAAATGCGATTTCTCTTTTAAAATCATTTTATAAACTGAAGCTTTGAGCAGAAAGAAAATGTCAGTAAGAATACACACATAAGGAGAGGATTACTTCAAAAAAGACTAGTCATTCATCTTAAGTTTATTTTTAGCTTCACAGTTCAGTATGGATAATTTTTTTATCAGATTTCATGTTTATCTAATAATTTAATTACAATTATTGTTTGGTACTTAAATTCAGAATTACATTTTCTTATTGTTAAAAAACTTTAATAATTTAATTAAATTGATTACTTATTATAAAATTATTATAAAATTTAAATTTTCTAAACTCTTATTTTTATCATAAAAACATATATGATTGTTTTGTAGATAAAATATATTCAGATAAATTACATTTGACATTAACTATATTAAACTTGGCACTATTTCTATGTTGCTTAAATCTTTGTGGAATATCAGCTGCAACTGATTTGATCATGTCTGTCTATTTATAATGAAAACTATCATTAGTACTTCAAACATAAATAATTTTCCCAGAAGTCTTGCTTTTGTCCTCTGGTGAAAAAAGAACTTTTGGAATTCATATTTTTTTTTACTATCTACTTTAATATAATAATCACACATTTGCTATCATTAGCACTTCTTTTATATCAAACTAGCTGTTATCCACGACTTCACCTAAGCAGATTTTGCAAGCAAACACCATTTATATTCAGTATTTCAACAACCATAGTAATTGTTATATAACACCTACTGCTGAGAATGATGAGAATTGCTGAGAATCAAACGAACTCTTTTCAATTTGATCAATTTTCTGAAACATTTACAATCATTCTATATTCAAACCAATATGCAATAACAAATTTGAATTTAAAATGGTTTGAACATTTGGTTAAAAAATTGAAATATATAAAAATTAGTGATGTAACGAATATTCGGTTACTATTCGGTATTCGGCCTATTTTTCACTATTCGGCCGAATACCGAATATTTAATCACTATTCGGCCGAATACCGAATACTTAAAAACAGGAGTAAGAAATAACAAAAACACAGTAAATTAATCGTTTTGGTATTTAGATTTAATGTTATCGAGTTAGTGTTGTTTGTTTATATTTATTTATAACTTGTAACATGCACAAAAAGAAAATAATATTAGTCACATGTATTCAAAATTTATAATTACAAAGATCAGCACACGTACACGTCTATCGTTGGAGAATCCTCGCACATCTGAGGGTCTGACCCTGCCTATCCTTCTTTTTAAGCGCTCGTCTTTGCTCTTCCCTTTCTCTTTCCTCTATCGCTCTAATCCATGTATGTCTGTGCATACATCATAATACGCACTCACGATACTTTCGATTCGTCATTTTTCCGTCGTAGAGTTCCCATTTTACAATTACGTGACAGCCTGGTGATAACGGAGAAAAGAGACAGATAGAGCGTCGATATAAGTCACAGTTATGATTTCACAGATTCGAGACACCTTGATAACCCAAACGGCCCCAGGCTTTCGCCCGTGCACGCTAAGTGACTTACATTACAAGCATTTAGTTTTCCGAAGTCTATGACAACAATTGTTTGGCATTGGTGACGGCCGAGAATTTTGTGCCAATAAGCTGCCTAGACTTGTTCGATTATGTTGTCAACTCAATTTCATATTTATTTTCACATTTTCACTTCACGATCCTTCTCTGTTCTTTTTCCGTTATTTACACGTGTAGGTCATTTCATTGTTTTTCACATTTGATATCATTTATCACATACTTCCATGACACTCTTGCCTGTCCGCTACAACTGCCAAGAATTAACGCAATTGGCGAAGCGTAGTGATAGCGGGCCAATAGAGAGCAGGATCCTTGCCATAATGCGGTTTGCGCGCCAATTTTCGTACGTGCGTTAATCAAGCCGAATAGTTTGGCCGAATATTCGGCTATTCGGCCACGCTCTTGGCCGAATATTCAATATTCGGCTTGAGGCCGAATATACTATTCGTTACAACACTAATAAAAATATTTATAACAATGTCTGAAATATTATCAATTTAATACACCTAAGTACTCAATGAAGACTAAACTTAGTTGAAAACAAAAAAAAATCTCATCTAAAATAGTACAGCAGAAGCTGTTCTTCAGGTTAAGCCTTAATCTTTTCCTGTGGAGGAATTTCCAAAAATCCTTTCTTAGTGTGTTTTCATGACATACTCTAACTGTACCAAATTTCATTTCACCTCAAACTGTTGAACCTAAAGAAGGTTTAGCAGTTTGCTCTGGGCAATGATGAATCAATCACTCAGTCAGTCTGTCAGAACAAGTAATTTTATATATTTAGATGATAATTAGTCCGATAATTTGTTTCTAAAAAAATTTCTAAAATCTTTTAATTAGTGTTAATAGCTACTTTCTTCCTCAAACCAGATTGCCTATTTATCATAAATACATTTCATATACTGATAAATTAATCCAAGTATGTGTGGATTAATTTTCTTATCAGCTTATATTTTATGACTCTTCAATGGAGTCAATTTCAAATCTTCATTGTACAATGAAAATTTTGGACAAGTATGCTTTTTTGAAATTTAAATACTGTAGTTTAAAAATCCAAGTATAGAAATTACAAGTATTAAATAGAATTTAACATTAAAAAATTAAAAGGAGTGCTGAATTTAATCAAAATGATTAACACTAAAGAATTACCAGTGGTTATGAGCATATATGAAATTCTGTATAATTAAAAAAAAATCTATATGTATAAAGCTTTAAACTAACCTGACAGGACTGACAAAATTCTCCCCTCTCCCATCCACAATCGCTTCCACATCGACCATAAAATGGGGGATATCCACAAAGCAATATGTACCTGAAAAATTATTAATATAAATTATTAAAAAACTGAATTGTTAGTTATCTTCATGAAAATATTGAATATAAAATATGAAAAAGTTGCACTAAATAATGTTAGTTACTTGAAAATTAACATTTTTGCTTTTCTACTCATTTAACAGGATTCTTATTAGATGAAAAATTATTAGATGAGACTTCAATATCTTTATTTGAAAAGACAGATCTGCAATATTGCAATATATATTATAATTAGGAATGTTGCAGATGCAATATATTTGACAACCATGCATATATCTATATGACTTCAAATAGCAAAATTCTTGGCTAAAAAATGATTTTAAAATACTAGTTCTACTGAAACGGTCTAGATTATTATTAAAATGACTTCAATGAAATAATTAACAAAAACTATACAATTTGGGTATAATATTGATTTAAAACATAATGATTAATTTTTTTATGGACACATTAATTTGCAATGTATATATAAAGATCTGAAATGAATATATAACTAAGAAAACATTGAAGAAAACTTGGAAAAACTGTAATAAAACTAAACATTTAATCATGTTATTGCATGTATCATTAGAAAAAAAATATATTTGAATTAGAAATCAGTTTTAAATTGAACAATTTGTCGAAATGAAGAAAATGAGTGTCAGCAAATGCATTAGAAAAATTTTTAAATGCAACAATGTCAAATTATGCAATTATGAATTTTAATTTATATGAATATATTTTTTTTACAGATTTTTCAGTTTGCCATAAGATTGTCTTTTAAGATGCATCAAAAGATCTGATTTGGACGACATTTTATCTGCTGATTAAGTATTCTTTAAGAATTACATAAAATCTACATGTTCTTAAAAACAGACTACTATAATCAGCTTAAATCTATATGGGATAGTTTATAAGATAATAGAGTTTCAAATTGTCATGTTCACACTATGTTGCAATAACTTTGAAATAACATAAACAAATCCTATTAAAACAAAACTTGTTGAAATAACCAACTACAGTCATATGTTTAATTGATGTTTAAGTAAACTATCAATAGTAATTTTTTTCTTAACACTAATAAATATTATAGATTTCACAAATGATCCTACACATTCAATTAAGGCCAAGAAAAGATGTGGACTGATGTATATAAGTTTTTGTCCATCTCTAATATTTAATTGCTTGGATATTTTCATAAAAATAGCTTACATTTTACATTTATTTTGACACAAGGAAAAAAAAAATTTTAAATGAATGCAATCCAAAAATTAAGCTATTTCTAATAAAAGAAACAATGTTAAAAAACAAAATGTTCTCTGTATAAGAGTGTTTCATTATTATTATTATGCATAATATTTGATAATAATTGTGGACTGTGTGCTTATATACTAGATATAAAAATAACATTAACTAAAATATCTATAATTTTAATGTTAAATTAATACATAAGTGCAGCTTTTGTTGTTATAAGTGAGTATGAAAAATATAAAAATATAAATTCTATTGTTAGTTTTCTGATAAGTTTATTATAATCAGCTTAAAGTTGAAATACTTTTCCTCTTCAAATACAAGGTAAATAAAGTATCTTGAGGAATTAAGAAGTAAAGAGCAATTAAACATTTAGTTCTTATATTTAGTAAAATTAGTATATTTTTAAATTATTTAGAACTCTTCTAAATTCTCGGTAAATTTGGAAATCAATATACTTACATAATTACCCCTAAACTCCATAAATCACAACGTTTATCATAGGTGGTTGCTTCTCCAATAAATGCTTCTACCACTTCTGGTGCCATAAATTCTGCTGATCCCACCTATCAGTTGAAATACAAGATAAAATCAAATACCTTATAATCTCAAATTAAACTCACAAAAAAAAAAATTTAATCTTATCTAAAATAATTTCTTGCAGTTCAGAATATGTAGTAAAATGTATGTATGTATATATAAATTAATTATAAACGGAAGCAAAGTATTCTTTTTGTTAAACGTTGCAATTTTATATTTTGTTTATACTTTTAAGTTTAAAATAATTAATTACTTATCATTTTATAATAAGATTATAAATTTTTTAAACAGTTTAAGGACTTGATTACAATAATTTTAAAAATGTTTTAAAAATATTTATTGCATCTCAGTAACATCTGAAATATCAAAAAGCATTTAATTGTTTAAAAAGACATTTAAACTAAATTAAAAAAACAAAAATTAAACGCTTTACAATAATGAAATAAATGAGAAAAATTATTGTTGCTAGGTGAACTGTCATATATATTTCAAAATAAAAAAAAATGCATAGTTTTTGCTACAAAAGCTATTAAATAAAACAACAAATGCCTGAAAAATTAATAATCTATAATTTTTTTTGTAATAAACAAGAAAATTATATTGTGCATGACAATTTTTTTAATAAGTATGCACAATAACAGCTTCATTAAATAAATAAAAATAATTAATTTGTGCATCAAATTATGTAGACTTAATACTGCAAATAATAATACTAGTAGGTTGATTGCTTTAACTTCGCATAAATTTTTTAAAAAACTTATGTGTTAAATACAAATGGATTTAAAATTGATTTATCATAATCACTATTCACATTTACTTCATATAATCATTATGCTTTTGTTGATTTGAAAATATTTACTTTTTAAAAATTCTACATTTAATATATTTTTATTGCCACAATTAAAGAAAGTACTAGCTTTTATTTACGTGAAATATGCATTTAACAAAAATCCAGCTGATATAATTTTAAAATACTCACAGGTGTTTGTAATTCTGGTGTACTGACAGGAGTTGTGCTGTTGAATACTATACCACTGCCCAAATCAAAATCACAAATTTTTACAGGACAGACCTAAAAATAATAATATAAAAAAATTTTAAATATTTATACATCAAAAAGATTTATGTAAATTAAAACTAGTCATTGAATTTTAGTAAAAAAACTTATTACTAATTTTTAATAATTATTCACAACATATAAAACTTTTCATTAATTTAACTAACAAGCAAATTTTCATAAATATAAGAAGTTGGTAGTAAGTCCTCTAACCTGATTTTCACTAAAGCAAAGAATGTTTTCTGGTTTTAAATCACGATGTGCAATTCCTAATTAAAAAAAAAACTTTAGTATGCATTCAAGATTTTTTAATAATTGAACAACAGTTTTAAAAAAAAAATACCTTTATGATGTAAAAATTTTAATGCAGTGGCAATATCTCTAATAATAGTACTTGCTTCATTTTCAGTAAAATGGACTCTCTTTTGAATGTGTGCTAATAATGGGCCTATTCATAAAAAAAATTAATAAAAAACTAATTCTTTTTTATTTATTTTTTATTTTGTATAAATATTAACCTACCTCCATTGACCTTCTCAAACACCAAGTAAAACCTAGAAGAAAAATTGAAATGTAAGATGTAATACATTATTCACATACATGACTCGTTAAAAAATTTTTAAAAAAGAAGTTTTAATTATTCTTTAAAACAAAAGTTTCAATTAACTGGACAATTTTTACAAGTAAATAATTTTAAAATATTTATTTAAATATGAAATTAATTAATGTTTGAAAATTTCCAGTAATTTAGGATAGTGATTTATCAATAAATCAATGTACTATAGATTTCTCAGAAGTGCCATAAAATTCAAAAAATAATTTTGAAATTATAAATGATAAAAAGAATTATTTCTTTTTTTTTTAATAAAAAAAAGACACAGATCACTATTTTCACTGTTTCTTTATACATAAGAGCATCTTTGGTGCAAACTAGCTTGGCTTGCTGCCAAAATTGCTTGCAAGCCATTAGCTCAAAAAGATTGAGGATTTCCATTTAATGAACTGTGCATTTGAATTTAATATCTACTGATTATAAAATTTTGTGTTCAAAAATTATTAGTAACTTAGAAATTTTCATTAAAATAGCAAAATTATTAATTATTAAAAATTCTTTTACTAATGAGAAACCCATTTAGTATAATTACATAATTATAAAAATATTTAAATTTTCATTATTAAATATTGTGACAAGTTACTACCAAATCTTATTCTAACATCATTTATCAGTGTTATCAAAACTTTTGCAAATTTAATTTAAGATTAATATACCTGTCTTGTTCTTCAAAAAATTCTATCAGTTGAATAATGTTCTGGTGACCTTGACAATGATGGAATGTCTCTACTTCACGAAATACTCTTGATCGGCTATGACCTGGTTCTTTTTCAATTATCTTAATGGAAAAATTTTAATGCTTTTGAATGTGTTAAAATTAAAATAATAACAAGTCAATGTAATTACAGCATATTTTGTAATTAATTACTTTGGAAATTAATACTTATGTTCTGAAATTATACACAATAATTTATTTTTTAATAATTAATTTATACAAATATGTAAGTTATCTCTGATTGTTTGCCTTTAATATATTTCTGCAGAAAGACAATTTACTTATTTAACATGAAAATCAATAAAAATTAGAAACTTTAATAATTTTTGATTTTAAATGGTCAAGTTAATGAAATCTTCCAAAATTTTGCAAGTAAAGTCAAATTAAAATGATCTTATTTTATTTCAGCTTTGTACAATATCAATATATGTATATATTTATATATCTTTAGATATGCATTAATATTCAATCTAAAACAAAAAAAAAAAATCAAATATATTTAAATTATTGTTAACAAAGAGGAGTAAAGTTTTTTCTGGTAATTGTAATTACGATATATTTTTTTTAAAATGGAAAAAACAAATAGGTAAGAAAATCTTATCGAAATCAAATATTTAACAATAATTTATAGTAATTGTGCTGTGTAATTTGGTTTATAAATTTAAGTATAATCAGTGACAAAATTAAGATTTTCTTAAATGTTTAAAATTTCAATTTTAATGTTTTTAAAAACTTATTTATAATAATTTTCAAATGTCTATTTTTTAAAAAATATCTAAACACTGCTTTCAATAACCTTAAATTTTAACAAAAATGAAAAAACCCAAACTGCTTTAAGAACTGATGGCACATTTGTTATATAATAATAGACTAGATTTAAATAATGATAATTTAGTGATTTGAATGTTTTAATCTGTTTACAAATAGAATCTTAAAAATTACTTGTTTTTGAGTTAATAAAAAATGTCTTCTAAAGATTTATAAATTGAACTTATTTCCATTTTTAAAATTTTAGAATTCTGAAATCTTGGTTTTTGTATAGTTAAAAAGCTTAACATTTTAGAAAATAAGGTTTTCTAAAATGTTAACCAAAATAAGGTTTTATTAATTGCAATTTCTACAGTATAAGGTATTTTCTACTTTTAAGTAATGTATGTAAAAAAATTAAATATAAAAAAAATATCAATCAATAGAAAAACTTAAGTAAAAATCTTGTAATCAGAATTCATGGAAATATATATTTTTTAAAAATTTTAAACCACTGACAGTTTAACAATAAAAAGAATTGATATAAAGGAAAGATAATTATAGATAAATATCACAGATTGAAAGAAATCAAAATCAATCCTATACAAGGAAAAAAAAAAAAAAAAAAAAAGGTTTTCCAAAATGGCTTTGAGGTCAACCCAGCCTACTATTCAACATGAAAATAGCAATCATCAGGAAATAATGTAGATTTTGGGTACAACTCTCTTTGATTATAGCTGTTGCTTGATAACTGGGTCAACTCTCCAGGCAATATCAAATCATTGTAAAATTTACGGGGAAAACGTAAATCTGAAATTTTCCAAACCACCTAAATTACATATTTGATTCTGATAATCATGACTCAACATTGGTAATAAAAGAATGCATTCACTTTTCATTTTTCAGAAATATAACAACTCATGTTTTACTGTAAATTTAAATCTGAAATACTCTCTACATAAAATTTTAAAAATATTTTAATTGTCTTTATTGTATATTAAAAATCTTTATAGATATTTCTTGATTTCCTGTATTTAAAAAGTCAAAATATTTAAAACAAACATCACTTTCTGTATAAAATGTTAATATTTTGAGATAGTAAAATGTAAAATTTATACTATCATTTAAATTTGCTCATATTTCAGAATATTGCATTATTTTTTAATGTTAATACTATATTCTAATAATAAATAATATACTTAAAGTAAAAAAAAAAGTAAAAATATTCTTTTCTATAAAAAAATATTAATAGTAATGTGAAAAGGTTATTTTTATAAATTTTGCTACAAAAAATCGTTATATAGATATAACTTTATATTATCAGTAATAATTAATAAATTTTTTAAAATAAAGATTATAATAATCACATAACATTAAATTTTGTAAGTTATGTTATAATGTTAAATTAATAAAAATTATCTAAATCCAACAATTATTACATAAAAATATATTTAAAACCTGAATTTATTAAATTAGCTACCATAAATAATCATCTGACACCATTTTAAAAATGAAAATATTTATTGAAATTATTACCAATAGAAAAAAGTCATTAGAAAAACAATTATGTAATTTTGTAGTCATAACTACTGTAACTAATAACTTATATTACAAATTTATTAAAAGCAATATAATAATTAAAAATACTATATACCTTTACAGCATATTCTTTCTCGGTATAAACATTAATACAAGTTCTTACAGATGCATATGCACCTTCACCAAGTATCTCTTCTGTTAACCTGTACAAGTCTATAAAAATAACAACCATTTAAAAAAGAACAGAGATATTATTTCTATTTTTGCTAAGTTAAAATGTAATTAAAGCTAATTAATAAATCTGAATAAAATAGCCATATTGTAATTACGTGGATCAGTGAAATAAGTTTTAATTTTAAATCTGTTAATGCATTAAGAAATATATACCGAAATAAAGTTATAAAATTGAGTTCCGAAAAAACCAATTTTTTATTAATTGTAAATCAGTAATAATGCATTACCCGAAAAATCACTGCAAGCCAAACTAGATCCTGTTCGTTTTTTCTTTCTTCTTCGCTTCCGCTGCTGGTCTTGTGAAGGCTTTGGTGTTTCGATGGGCTGGCTGCATGCATTTGTAGATGTTTGCAGAACATCTGGCACATCACCTAAAATGATTCTAAAATGAAATATTTGCAAAAAGAAAAAAAAACCAGTGTTTTAATTAAATAAAGCAGTAGTTTTGTTAGTCAGAATCTAGCTATTTACTGACATATTTTCAAATGGCTAATATAATAATTCTCTAGAAATTGGAAAGAGTTTCAAATGCTTTGGAAATGTAGAATAATTTTTTGCCAAATTTAAAATCTGTTTGTTTGTCTTAGGAAATTGGGATGTAACCATTCTGTCAACCTTCTTTTACTCCAGTTAAATAAATTATGAAAAGTTTAATCCTTTTATGATGCCAGATTCTAAATACCATTCAGAACAATGAGAAACTGATTAGAATATATTGGATAGTTGCAGGTCACCAATAATATAACAAGGCTTTCAATAAATTAAAAACAAAAAAAAACCTTATTTAAACAAACAGGATATTGATTTAGTATCACCCACATTTTTATTTACAAATTATTTGGCTTGTAAATAGAATCTGAAGCAATGCTATACCAAAATCATGTGTTTATTTTTAACAAACATCAATATCAATCAAAAAATTATATCCATTTTTAACAAATGACATACAAAAACAAACTTTATTTTTAGCACAAAATAAACTTCTTTCATGGACTTATTTGTAAATGCAGTAGTAAAAACAAGGCTGTAAAATCTGTAAATTAGTTGGTAAACAGTTGATACAATGGAAAGTAATCATAAATGACCTTTTCTCTTACTGCAAAAAAATATTAAAAAGCTTAAAAAATTAGGAAGTAAATTTATTTAAGTGTGTCATTGCCATAAGATTTAAAAATTCTAATGATAAAGCAAAATTACACATTTTAATTTGACTGTAATCAAAAGAAAAAGATTTAAAAACTAATGTTAAGTGATAATTTAAATACTGATAAGGTAGGTAAAACCTGTATTTGAGTTTTTAAAAATAAAATATTTTAATAAAATTTATTACTTCATTTTGAAAGAAATTTGTATTTTAAGAACATTAAATTGCTAGTAATTTTGCCTTGTATTTTATACTTATTATATTAGAACAAATTCAATAAAATAAAATAAAAACAAACAGTGAAATATTTTCCCACATTTAATTTCCGAGCTGTATCAATCAAAATGCTTGATTATATTTTGCAAAAGTCATTTCATCTGTATCAAGCCAAATGGTGAAAAATTTGCATAATAAAACAATGTCATCAAAATGTTTTGAGAACAATTGGAGTGATTACATTATTATTTTTCAATATTAAGAACACAATAAAACAAAACAATAAACTTAACAAGCAGCTACCATAGTCAATTCAATTTAAAATACAGAAGTAAATTGTATTTATACACTTAAAAATCAATTATCCATGTATAATGTTTGTTTATATTATTTAAACAGACTTTTATGCAGTTAATATATATAAGTCTAATAATAACACAATCAATTTTTGAAAGCAAGTGGAGTGGAGTGGATGTCCTTATGATGACTCACATTGTTATAGTGATACTCACTCTACTAAACCAGAAACTATCATTTCAAAATCAATTTATTTATTTATTTATTTGGAAATGACATTTGCAAACAAATGAAAGAAAGATAGTCATGCAATAGACATATAAAATTATACCAAACCGATCTTGTAGATTATTGAAGTCAGTTGTCCAAAAAATATTTTACTTCGTATTATATATGAAATTTTATTGCATATCAAGAACTTTATGTATATACATACAATAACACATCCGTAGATTGTAAATGTGATAAAAAATTAAGACAACTATATTAAGAATAAGAAAAAAACAAGCTATTACTTATTGTGACATTAAAACTTGCAGCTCAACATTGTGACAATCATATTTTAATGTAAAAATAAGCTTTCCATATCTGCTCTCTACTTTCATCTATCTAATACAGTAACATAAATTTCATTTGAGATTAACAAACAACCTATCCCTTTGAGATTAACAAACAACAATGGGAATGTATAACCCAATTATAATTTTCATTGCAAAAAACAAAAATTTTTATAAAAATAATCACTAAATTATCATCCTAGTTAATCTATTAAGTCATTTTTAAAAAAAGCTAGATTATTTAAATCAGCATTTTCTGATTATCAGTAATGATTATTATTATATTTTTAAAAATAATGAAATTTATGTTACTGTATTATGTACAGTATTTAAATTTGTGAGTAAAATTTTGCAAAAACTAATTTTCTGAACTGATCTTTATCAAAATTTAGATTAAAATATAAATAAGATTTTTAAACTTTTATTTCTGTATTGATTTGTATTCACTGAAGCCATTTTTGTTTTTGATATAAATTAAATTCTAAATTGTAAATTTCTGGAGTAAATTTTTTCAGAATCTCATGAAGTGATCATTACAAAATATTTTTTTAAAATACAGTTTAGTAACATGCTAGTAAATTTTCCTTAATTATATTAGTTGTTTTGTATTTTTAAATATTTTCATAACTTTAAAGCTTATTTAAAAAAAAAAACCATAAATGCAAAACATTAAGAGAAAAGAACATTAAAAAATGCAGCAGCTGTAACAAAACTATTTTAAACAGATCTAAAAAAATATATAGACCTAGATACAGAAGAGCAAAATAATTAGAGAATAATGGAACAGTTTCTCTGTGCCTGCAGGGCATTTTTTTTGCAAGTAAAATTTAATCTTTGCCCCACTATTAAGCAAACAACATTTAGCATGTACATTAATTACACTTAATTATACTAATAGTATTTTTCTTATCTAATTTTTAAATATCCAAGTTCTTTTGAGATGCCCAAAACTTTGCATTAAATTATAAATTACAAAAATCTTCATTAAACTGTACTGAACTAAGTATTTTTACTGCAAATCAAACAGCAAGAGCAATTACATATCACACAGTCAGACATTTTGGTTTAAAACACAACCAAAATTACATATTGCAACTTAAGTAATAAATTAACCAACAGCAAAAACATTTCTTTACCGTTCAGATAGAATTTACATCACATCATTTGCAATAAATAGATAATAACTTGCATCACCAATGTTGTATTTTTATTGCTTTAAAATATAAAACCTGCAAAATTAATACAAACAATTAATGCAAAATTCCTTGACACAATTAGAAATAAAATTAAAAAAAAAAATAAAAAAAAAGTTGAAGAGCAAAATTGATAAGTAAACAGATTATGCAAATTAAAACTAGTAATACTGCATTAATGTCAATTATATAAAATAATTTTAAGACAAAAGTAAAACCAATTTAATTTACTATTTTTAATAGGATCACTAAAACAATCATTGACTGTCATCCAAAATTTTACTTCATTTGACTTTTATGAAAGTTATCAGGCTAACAAAGGTGATGCAAGTTGTTGGCCAAAAAGTTCGTTGTCCTGTTTTTAACCCAAAAATACAGAATTTAAATTCACCAGGACAGACTTGTTTTAATTAATTGCTCTAAATAGTAACAAATAAAACTTAATTAAATCAAAACTATCATTACTATTCATTTCAGATTTAATCTGTTAAAATCTTATCTAAAAAATGTTTTTAAAAAATATTTAAACTGATAATTAAACAATAATAAAATCAAATTTATTAAAATTTGATAATACTAATTGAATTAAAAATTTAAATACTTCAACAAAATTTCATTCTACTGATTCCTATTTTGAGTTTTAGCTGATTACATAAAATAACTTTAATACCGTACCAAAAGGTATAGATTGTATTTGCAAGATTGAATGGTAATTAAAATCATTTATATATTATAGAAATATTTATTAAATTAAAGTTTATGTTCACTTTTTTATTTTCAAATCAAAATTACCTAAATGGAAAGTTAGCAATTGCAAAATTTATTTAAAGTTTACTTCACAATAAATGAAGGAAACAGACATTTAATGTAACAAATTTTTGAAATTTTCACTGAAATATTCATATTGAAATATAAAAATGTGTTGAAAAATTTGGTAATTTTAAGTCAAGAAAGTGAAAATTGTTACAAATGTCAGTTAAATTTATCTCCATAACTGTAAAATGTCAAAAAAACGCTTTGAATCCAAGATTCTATTTTTAAAAAATCTTTAACTACTTTAATTAACTATGATTTTACAAGATACTTTTATGATTTGATGTAAATATTTAGGATAGAAATATTCATAAATGTTTCTTTAAACTATAATGTTGAATAAATTTAAATACCATATTCATATTATAATGAAACAATAAATAATTTCAAAACAAAAATAAGATAATTGGTCAGAAAGCTTGCATTATTATTACAATTATAAATAAAGAAAAAGTTAATACAGATGACACAAATGGAAAGCACATGCATGAAATGTATTGTGTTGCTTATTTAATTCCTGTTTTAATCTATAGAAATCGAAAGTAAGATTGAGATATGACGTCTGAAACAAAAGCAATACCTCTGTTGTAAATATAGATTAAATTTTTCTGTTTGGGCAGTCTACACATCTGTAAAAAATGGACTATACAGAATTAAAAAAAATTAATTAGAATAATATATGTATATTGCCGTTGTTTATTATTAAACACAAGTGAAATGCTGTCCTACAATTCTCTCCTAACCGATATTTGACATCCGTGCTCAGTAATATAGAAGACAGATTCGAAGCACGCAATCTACTGGTGGAAAACGAAATACGTGAGACTTGTCTCCAGAGGACACGTTCGACTTGTTTTCTTGACACGAGGTCAAGGTTGAAAATTTAGACAGGGATACAATATTAGAAAAAAAAAAAAAACTTTTTACACTAAGGCAAAAGACCCGATTTAACATTTTAAAGAGCAGTTAACCAAGCGTTTGTGCGAGATGTCGAAACACCGACGAAAGAAGTTTGCCAACGGCGCAGATTGCACGAAGGAAAAAAAAAATCGAAAGCAAAAACGTAAGAGATATGGCTCGAGACCAAGTACGATTTCCTGGAAAAGTAAAAACTGATGACTACTTCCCGCGGGTAAATAATAGAAACCTTCAGGGTAATCCAAACATTATATAAAACGAAAACCGAACGGTTTCTAAAAATTCAGCTCAACACAGACGAGCTCTTTCAAAATAACCAAGTTCTCCTTGTCACGTGAATCGGTATTTAGGTCAGCATCCGCCATAGTTGGAGTCAGCGCAGTTAAGGGTAAAAGTCCCACGTACGATTTCTAACAATGAACTATTCGTGCGTGCCCGAAACAGTTTAAAAACCTCCGAAAAGGCGGCGATTTTACTAACCTATATATAGGTACCACGGAAGAAAAAAAAATAATAATCAGTAATTACGTATAAATACAGAGTACAGAAAACAGGAATCAATTCTACCAGTCAATAGTGAGTCATATTTACTAACATTTATTAGCATGAATGCGCTATGACAGTGAATTCGAAGCCGATCGTTAAGCTTCTGACAGTTTAACACGTATGACACATATACGAGGAGGAAGTTTTTTTTTTCTTTCTTTCGTTTTCTTTAATTTAAAAGCAACGAATTACATCTGCGCCTTTAAAATTTCCTCCAAGATGTCATTTTCATTCGTGGCACATCGGAATAATCGAACAAAACAGCTGTTTCGCATCTATCAATCGATTTTTATATGTATTGTAAAGGTCCATCCAGTTTTACACTATCCTTCCCGGCCTCAGCAATGTCGATTGATTGAACCAGTACATTGCTGGGTCACTTCCATTCCTCATCGGGGGTTGGTACAGGTTTGATTCGCCATCTCTACATTTAAATAACGCTAACAACTGATCGGAAGAGTCGATGTTTAGCCCTTCTAACATTTTTCTTCCTCCCTTTTTTTAACGGACACCTTAGCTTGGTGATTCGTTAAGATGCTAGAGATAGTTTCCTAGCGTAGCGAATCTCCGGATATCGTAGATGGGGCTCAAAATGGGATGGGGTTTTTAAACAGCGAGCAGAGGCTTCCTTAGGGATTCTTGTCATGATCGACTTATAATTTTTTTTTTTTACTTCCTATCATCTCCAATGTGGAATTTTAGATTTTAAATAATCAGTCAACTATCATCAGAAATTAAAGATTAAAAACAACTGATGATCACTCGTCCTCTATAGATAAAATGTTTCCGAGTGTTTCAGATTTTTCCCCTCTCTCCCACTCCTTCGGCAAATGATCTTGGATGTAACTAGTTTTATTTATGAATATAAATGGCATTTTAAAACAAAAAAAGATAAACTCATAAATTGCGTTTTAACAATTTAAACCAAAATCAAATCGAATATATATGTATATATATAGATTTGATTTTGTCACGATCGACTTATAATTTTTTTTTTTACTTCCTATCATCTCCAATGTGGAATATATATATAGATATATATATTTTTTTCCACTCCAGTTTTCTCAGTTAAGGAAACAATGCAAGTTTAATCAACTCTCTTTTTTCGTGACATTCAGAAAAACTAAAAAGGATTCACAAAAAATCGCAATAAATGCGGGTTTTTTTAGTATTCGGGAAACGTCATTAATTAAGAAAATTATAGAAAAATGTTAGCTTTCTTTTAACAAATCTGCCATTTTAATTAGATTAAATAGAAGACGATCGTCTCTAATTTCAAATCAATCAAGATCTAAAAAGAATATTTAAATAAAGTATAAATTATTTCTATAATTAAGTTATTTATGGACTAAGTTTTTTTAAAATTTCGCAATAAAAATATTGCAACATAGTTTTTTAGAGGTTAGATGTATAATATACACTATACTTGTATAAGACAATAACATTATTGACACACAAAAATAGTGACATCAGACAATTTACATAGACGGGACGTTAACTGTTGACAACATAAGAAAAAAAGAGATAAAAGTAGAAGAAATTTATTTCTAGCTCAGAACACATTAGTAAGGGACAATGAATGTTTTGTATTCCACTTACTTGCAGTGAGGATGCCTGAGTCTGGTGTACCGACGGGTGAGTCATTCGGTGAATCCAGCAGCAGGATAGGCGAGAGTGGACCATTTGGGGATCGACGGATCAAACCAGCCTCGGTACTTGCCAGGAACACTTCCTGTTTCATTGTCGAAGAAATTTCCAGTTAGCTTCGGCTACTTACAAATAAGACGGCGTATACAACACTCTTTTATATGTATTATTTTGAATTCAAATAATTTTGATAGCTAAAATTTAGTGATCCGAATTTTTTTGATTCATTTTAAAATTTTTTATATGGACCAAAAGATAAACCGAGCTAATGCTAGAACTTCTATCAACCAAAACAAAGCAAGGCTTCCAGCCAGCTGTAAGCCTAAAGAGCACAGCCGGTTAGAGCTGATGCCCCTACTTTAACAACACACGCCTTGCCTTTCTTTCACATTAGCCACACTCTGCAACCCACACGCGTCTCTGCCTTTAAATACCCAGCGTGTCGAATGCGCGACGCGTATGCGCGACGTTCCCGTCACGTGATATTTATAAATACTGCACCTTTTGACGTCATAGATTGAAGTGGCGAGACGCAGGCAAATCCATTCCCCGATAAGAGGGTGGATTTTTGCTTTTAAAGACATCCGAAAACGAAAACAACGTTAGCTCGTACATTGTCCACCGGAAGAAAAAATGATTTTTTGGTACAGTCATGATGGACGATGTCATCGAATGAAAGAAAATGGATGACAATGTCTGTTTCTGATGCAACAATTCTAGAGATTAACCAAGCGTGTTTAATCCATCGATTTCGCACCAATTATGCAGAGAAACGATGTCCTGATGGAGTTTTTATATCAATCTCTCCCTCGTTGCTTTTAATAATGGGATATTAAAGTTGTTAGATGCATCTCTGATGTAGTTTCATCGTTTCCTACATAATTTTATACGCTTGCTTCGAAACAAACTACGTAATTTTCTATTAATTATAATTAAAATGCAAACAAATTAAGAAATTTAATAATACGCTGAAAATAGACCCATTAAACTCGCCCTGGTTTAATTTAGATTACGCTTAATCATTCAATAGGATTAAAACAAAACTGCACGTTTCGTAACGTTAAAACATTTTTACGTGATAGAAAGGATTTTTATGAATCATATTATACCTTTTTTTTAAATATAAATATTAAACAAAGTAGAATTGAAACATGATCAAGATTGCCTTGTCTAGATAATATACAGCATAGGAATGTTTAAGCGAAGAGAGAGATCGTATGAGATTTTGCATAATCTTTGTATTACGATACGAGCAGAGTTACGGTCAATAACCGAAAACGTATTGTAAATTTTGGAATTTTTGCGAACTACTTAGCTTTTAGGCACGAACTGGAATGATGAAAGCTATATATCTTACGCGAACTTTCTAGAAAAGTTCGTTGCAGCCAGGTTGCAGCTGTGAAACCCCAGCTGAGTACAGTAATATGGTGTGATATAATCAGCATTTCCGGAGTTTGGGGAGTTTTTACGCTATGCATTCAATAATTACTCCTTTTTCCCCTATACTTGAGTTATTTAAACGCTCAGTTTAATTAAGAAACTAATATATTTCCTATTTGTAACGAATAATGTTTCTATAACACAATTTGCAAGATGTACAAACAATAAGACATACTAAAACGAACATAGGCATTGTATAGGTTTATATAAGTTACGAACTTAATAGTACCAGTTTTTTTTAATTAAAAACTAAAGGTAAATCTACAATGATATCAATAATAAACCTGTAATTGTTATGGCGCCAGAAATATAATTTTCTATAGACGATAATCGGAAAAGATAACCTACTTTTAAATAAATAAGCAAAAAAAAAAAAGAAAAAAAGTAGAAAAATAACTATTAAGTGTCATAAAATATTAAAGGATAAACTTAGCTAAGCTTATGTAAGTTTGAGATCCTTGTTTAATATTTAAAAAAAATGCTTAGTTATCAATTTAGTGCATAGAATTTTAAATAATTTAAAATTTAAATTCTAAAATTTACTGTATACTATTAAAGAAAAGAACAATAATTTAAAACAGCGGAAAACATTAATGCAAATATTTAGGCCTATATAAAACAAATACTAATCCCTGGTACTGTCCTGTACATGCCAGGGATTAACATACAGTACATAGATTTACAGTAATAAATTTTAAAGTAAAAATTAGATTATTCTTAAAAATTAAAGAGGAGAAAAAATTCGTGTTTACCGTTGCTACCATTTCTAATTTACTAATCTGTGTTTACGCATTGATCGCACTTTTTACTTCCGATTGCATCAGAATTTAGTTATGATGACTAAAAACTGATTAAGTGTGATGTCATGCAAACATTTTAGATAACGTACAGTACATGTTATTACTGACTTGTAAATATGGAAGGGGAAAAAATATACAAAAGAAAAAAAAAAACTAGATCTGTGGGATGGTTGGTTTTTATGACCTTCGCTCGTACAAGGTTAAATAGGTTATTAATCGAGATGTAGTCTACCTTTTAAAATGTCCGATAAACAAAATAGTAATCTGTTTTTATCGTAACTCATTTGATACTTGAGCAGTTACAAAAGGGAAAAATAATATAACTCGTTTTATTTTTATTCAACTTTATTCCTTAAACATTAAATAATAACTTTAACAAAAGTTTCTTTCCTTTCTGTTATGCATTATTCTTTTATTTTAGTGAAAGAATAGAAATTCCCCATTTACTGTTATAAAAGTCCAAGATCAATTACGGAAATCGTAGCGTAGCTATCAACGTGTTGAAAAGTGTGACCTATAACCTGTAACTTGTATATTGTATTTCTCATTGACAACTCGCTCTTGAAGATTGCTTAGATATTCGTATAACGAGATTTCGTGTTTACGTATATCGTTCTATATCTAAACATTAACAGACTTATTATTTTTAATTCTAAACACGGAAAGAAAACGCTGACTACAGTTTTTCTCGAGATTTTAATTGAAATTCTTCCATCCGCTATATGAATATTGTGATAAAAGATTTAACTAAAATAAACTCAGATAAATTCTATTTTTAAAATAAGAACCCGGTTTGTTTATTTAAGAATATTTTGTGGAATAAAAATAAAAAAAAGGTCGTTAGAAATTTTTCGATCGTTTAAATTGTTAAAAAAACGGTTTTTGTTTACTCCCAGTGACTTTTTAATAATACATTATGACTCTAGTTTATCACGTTTTATTTTTTATTTACTACGGTTCAATTCTCAACCGGATAGGGAGGAAAATAAGATTATTTGTTTCTTTTTCCTTTTAACATTATCATATTTTCTACTTAGGAATTCTGTTTGCATTCCACTCACTATTTTCACATGTTTGTCTATCTTATTCTGTTATACGATGCTATGGTCTTTCATTATTTAAAATATAAAATAAAAATAAAATATATTCATCCCGGAGCTGAAAAGATATATTTCTAGAAAGTTTTCTTTTTACATATTTCTAACTAATTATAATTTATTTGCATTTTAATAAAAGTTTCAGTCATTATCAGTATTTATTTTTTTTATAGAGATGAAAAAACTGAGTTGCTGATGTGAAATTAAAGTTAATAAAAATGAATACATTTTCAGCTCATTATATTTTAAATCAATGTTTGTTACTTTATTGAAAAAAAAGTATATTTTCGTAAGTATCAAAATAACTTATTTTATGATTAATAATTATAAATAAGCAGAATATCAACAGTTTTTTTTTAAATGTTGTCTTCTATGACTCATAGACATCATTACAGGAATACAAGAATAACAATAATTTCGGGGGAGGGAAATATTATAATGAACTAAATTAGAGGATAAATTTTATAATTTATTTTTCAATTTTTTATTATGTTATACTCGTTAAGCATTTACTGTTTACTGCACTGATGCACATTATGTCTCATCATCCAAATCAACATGAGTTCAAACCAAGCAGCAGAGAAATTTTGTCTCCTTTAATGGCAAACAATAAAATTTAAAAATATATAAAATTTATTATTTTTTTTCTTTTAAAAATTCAAGAAATGCTTTATAATTATAAGAAAAATTATATACAAACAAAGTTTACATTTTAAATTTCTGTTCTATTCAAACTTTGTCCTGTCATCTTAGTTGATGCAATATAATCTGAACAGATATGTTTAACATCATCACCTGTTGCTTTATTATTTACAAAAATTATATATTGTTGCCATAGCACACAATTTGTATTGGATATTTCACACGAAACATGAAACAACATAAATTATAGGTAAATAAATTGTTAATATATAATATAGTTTATATAAAACTAACAAAATTATCTAATTATTCAACTGTATATTGATACACGAGGAAACATGATACATTGTCATTTATTTATGCTAAATGATATATTACATAACTGTGACTACATTATACAATTGTAGTGTTAAAAATAAACACTGAAAAGTAAAAAAAATCTCTTGTTACAATCGAAGAACCTATCACCTATTAAAATAATAATTTTAATTAATTTACTGTGATTTTTATACACTAAGCAACATACTTAGTTAAATAACGTAACGTGTTTTGTAATGCAATTGTAATCGGCATAAATGACAGAATTTCATAATCTTTTTGGTTGTGTAAAATATAAATGACATATTTTTAAAATGTATAAGAAAAAACAACACATTTCTGTCAAATTTTCAAGGTAAGAAATTAAGCAAATTTTTCAATCATAGAATGACATGCAAATTTTATGCCTTGTGCAATGAGCAAATAAGACAATAAGTTATAAAAGTTATCATTAAAAAGGTAGTCATTATAAATCTGATGCCTTATAAACAATGACTTCTATCGATAAAAATGAAGGCAATAGGACTATCTAAAGGTCTATCTTTTTATTACTCTTTTTTTTTTATAATCGTATGCTGCAATGATCTAATTTTTTTTCTTCTTTTTTTGTATATTTGTTTCAATTTCATAGCTTATATAGTGTAAATTAAACATAAAATTTTGTAATAATAGATTTTTTTTTTCATACACAGGTTAATCACATGTTTATTTATTACTACTAAAATTACATAGTTTAAAACAAAATATAAAACGAAACGATAAAATAATCTGCCTGTATTAATTTTAGT